AGTCCAAGCACTCTCTTGGGGCTAACTGAGCCTTTTGTGTCAATAGTAGACAGGGTATTTCTCTCAGGACCAAGGTGTCTTGGGTCTGAGCACTCTCTCAGGATTGACCAGGCCACTGGTGTTGATGGTAGATGGGGGCTCCCTCCTGAGATTGGACCCTCTTTTGGCATCAAGCACCCTCTGGGGATTAACTTGGCCCTTGCTGAGAAGGGACTCTCACTCAGTCCCCTGTCCTCCTCACCACTTCTGTCTTGTCTTTGACATTCCTGATTGTTAGCAACAAGGGCTGGTGTCCTCCTCACCACATTTGCAGAACAAACACTTTCCTTGCACCCACCTGAAAAACATTCCCAGGCAGATGCTCACATGGGCACCCTCAGGAAAATCTTTCAAGCAGGACATGCTGCCTTTGTCCCTGGCATGGCCTGCTCACTCAAATTCCCTCCGTGTGCCTGGATGCAGGAGGAAGCAGTACCTGGCAGCTTGTCCTGCACATGGAGAAGCATAGACACGTGCCGTGAGGGGGAGAAGAGAGGGGTATGGGTGCACTTGCATGTTAAGGCCATGCCCAGGGGATTTTGTGGGTCAGTGGGGGAGAGGCAGGGTAAGTAGGCAGGAGCAATGCAGCCTGGGGTTGATTTTCTGCTGCAGGGACTGATGGGATATGTGCAACCATTTGGAGGGAAAATGGGGAAGCATGGGAACTATGCATGTATGAAAACCATGTGCCTATTTGAACCCAGGACAAAAACTGAGATACCATGCCACACAGTAACCACATGGACACTGTTGGGCTTAAAGACCTCTAAAAGGTTATCGAGACAGTACTAACAGTTGTGGAAGCCAGGATTTTTTTCTCAACAGGGCTTGTCCTTCTGTGTGCTTACTAATGTATTTTTCATATTCTTACGAATTCATGCTCAGCCACTGAGTGTGGGTTATTGTGCTGTCTGAACTACGTCATTGGTGAACCTGAGACTGAAAGAATAGTAACATGCTCAGTGGGTTTATGGCCAATGCTGGTTCACAGCTCAGCCTCTTAAGGCACAATCCCGGGCATATTTAAACAAACGAGGGCTTACAACTCCCAGCATTCCCCAGCCAGGATTGCTCCCTCAGACACACTATTACACTAATTAATTCAAAGGATGGGTTTGAAGTTAACTGCAGGAAGCCAGACAAATAGAATGAATGTGTGTTTTCAGCTAGAATCTGAACCTTTTCCATCCAGGTACAGAATTGTCATTCATTAAAAATGAAGACCTTTTTATTCAAACATTATTTTAATTGTTCGGCGAATGGGGTGGCATAGAAGTTCAATCAATCAATCAATCAATCAATGTGCATAGGCTGCCAGAAATGGCCAGAGAGAGTTTTGTATACTTGGCAGATAATCCAATTGTACCTTCTATGGTGTACAAACTAAGAATAAATGTGCAATGTGTACTGCTTGTTGCCCTTTCATGGTGCCTTGAAATGTGCCATCTTAGGATAGGTTGCTTCCCTTCACTTAGCGGCAGCGCTGCCAACTGAGAATGAAGAGTGCAAGAAAGTGATGGGGTCCATCCTTGGGGGAACCCAGGTCATTTAATCACATTTGTGGCATTCATAGCACTGTATGTTTTGAGGGGGCATCTTATCTTTATTTAGGGAAATGGTGGGTGCTCTCCTATGCTTTGATTTCCCATCCATCACCTCTAAGGTAATTTTAACTCCAAAAGTGACATTTCCTTCTGGCTCAGATCCTGATGACTGTATTTAGAGTAGAATGCCATGTGTGGGGCTGTGGTGAGGAATTTCTGTCTCTTTCAGTGCAACCACACACACACACACGCACCTCTCTGTTTTTGTTTCCTCCTTTTTCATCTGAAAGTTCCTTGTGAGGTCCACAGTCTGGTGTGGTTTATTAAATAATGATCAGTAATATTGACTGCTGTGTTTGGTGTAGGAATGGTAAGTCCTGCAGGAAATCTTGCTGCAGGCCGTGATTACAAGAACCCAGAACAAAACCTGTGTAGCAGCCTGTTCTATTACCTGAGCAAGACCCTTGCTTTTGACTTCATCACATTATGATGATCTGTACTAATATCCAAACCTCTCTCTGCTTGTTCTGCTTAGACACTATGCGTCCCCTGCATATAGTAGCCCAAATTCTGAACCCAAGAAAGGTAGAATTTTGCTAGCTATAAAATATGTATATTTGCGAAGGTTCTGTTAGTTATCAGTGTTCTATCTGCTGCACCTTAATTATTGAATCTACACTGCACAGAGACATTGGTAGCTAAGCTGATTTCTTTACAGCAGAGGAAGTGGAACTTTTTATATATTGTCCCCTCTGCTTTGCTCCAGCTGTGCCCACCACAGGAATGTGGCTCCCAAGAGCTTCTCTGAATGTAACTTGGCCCTCAGGCAGAAAGAAACTTGACACTTCTGATTTACAGGTACACAGATTTTATTCACAAATTTTTGTTTAAGTGCTGACTGGCAGGTCCTATCCCAGGTTTGTAGCAGGGTTTCTTCTGCAGCAGAGAAGACAGGCAGATGGGAATCTGCAGTCTACGTTGTTCTTCAGGAGTCAGTGCCTGGTTAAGGTGCTAGTATCTATGCAATGATCTGCTAAACACAGCCATCACACAAATGGCAAACAATGAATTATTAGGAGAGCAAGCCCAAAATCAGTGAAACTGGCATCCTTTAGATGATCTTGGAACTGATCAAAAACTGAGCTACCAAGCCTAAACTGTGGCACTAAATTTCGAGAAAGAGGCGCCACATCCAAGGAGGTATATAGAAAGAGGAAGGAGGCTCTTTTGTCAGCCTCTGGCTTTGGCTACACTTGCAGTATCTCTGCCAGAATCCCAGTTTCCTGGGTTGGCTAATTCAGATATCAACAGAGTTGCAAATGAAATGGAGAGCTGATGTTGTCAGCAGCTTATCCTATCACCACCATCACATTGAGTAAGTCTTGTCAATGGGGGCTTAGGTGTTGCTGTATTCTCTCCCCCTCACTTTGTTCTTTAATGGTTGATCCTGCACAGCACTACACACGCTGCCTCACAAAGGCTCTTTGGTGCCTCAGCAAGAGGTTGCTCCCAGTTCTGCTCCTGCAGGTACTTTGAATGGAAATGCCAAGGTTGGCCCTGCATCCTTCTGCCTTCTGACTCAGCACTCTCCATCGTCCAAGACTGAGGAAGCTGTGGCTCTGCAGATGTTGCAGGACTCCCAGATACCATCAGCTCCAACTGGCATGACTAAAGGTGACACATTTTGGGAGATTTAGCCCAGGGACATCTGGAGGGCCAACATCTGCCCTGTGACAGAATTCCTTAACCTGGTACCCTCCAGATGTCTTGGGAACACAGTTTCCAACAGCCCCAGCCAGGAAACCCAATGATCAGAAATGCTGGAGAAGCTGAAATGTCCCAGTAAAGTGCATCATCATGTAGATAAAGAATGACCCGTCCTTAACTGAGCTTTGTCCCCATTGTGATGAGCTAGACAGGAGGAGTGGGACCTGTAGAGGTTGCAAAGAGCTCTCCAGTGCTGCATGGTGAAACAGCTTGCCTGTCCAGTCACTTATTGGAAACAAGGCAGAGCTTCCCCAAGTCAGTGCTGAAGAAAGACGCTCTAGTACAGAACAGGGAAACAGTACTTTTATCTTTGATCAGTGATCAGAGGAGTGCTGGAGTCTGGCAGGCTGGAGAGGAGGCTGCGCTGTCAGCTCTTCAAATGGTCTGCACAGCTGCACTTTTTAAACTACAGAGGGATGATAGGTCGTGTGTGCTCTTGGCCCCATTTTCCATGAAAAAACTGGGTGGCGCTTGGCTCTTCGGAGCTGGGTAAGAACCTCATAGGGAGTGCAGTGGAACAGTTCCTTCGAAAGCGCTGCCTAATTCAGTGCTGGCATTAACAGTGAATACCAACTGAGGGCTGTGGCAGGGGATGTACTGGGTATGCACACTCACTGCACATGCTCTGAACATTCGCCTTAGTTCTAAGGCAGCCACCAAACAGAACAACTCAGAAGGGAACCAAGCATACTGCATGCATCCTCCTCTTGCTGGTGTGGACAGGAAAGGGTACCTAATTTCTCACCATATAGGAATAAACAAGAGGAGAAACTAGTTAACAAGATCGTAAAAGTTAATTTGTGGGAGAAACGAGATTAATGCATCTGGAAGAGAGAAATATAATTTCCTTGGCAAAGGAGTTCCCTGCTTGAAGTGGCTGGTTGCAAATAACCGGAACGGTGCTAATGTAGCATAACTGACAGTGTAGAGGCTGAGAAAAACCAAGGCAGGCAACTGTCCAAAACAGAACAGTGGTTCCTCAGATCGTGACGCTTAGTCTCAACAGCTCTGATTACATCAGCAGACAAAACATTTGCTGATATAAAAGGAAGTGTTGCATTTGGCATATTTCTTCTTCCACTGCCAATCAACAAAACCTAGCCCACTTGTACAAATGGCACTAGAGAAGGTATATAATGTATAAATCCCTAAATGGCTTAGGGATAGTGTCTCTAAAGTAGTGTCTCTTCCCATATGCATCTACCCCAACCCTTAGATCATGTAGAGAGGTCCTTCCCTGGCAGCCAAGAAGGAAGGTGGCCACAAGGGGAAGGGCCTTTTCAGCTGTGGCCCCTCAATTATGAAATCAGTTCCCCAGGGAGCTCTGCCTGGCATTTACTCTTTATGTATTTCAGCATCAGGTCAAAACTTCTTAATTTACCCAGCATTTTACCTGTTAAATAATGTCACTGGATTTTATATTGGTTTTATCTATATGGTCACTGGCATTCTCTGACTTTTTTTGTAGTATGTATAGTCATCATTATTTATTCTCATTGTTGGTGGATGTTATGCTCCAATGAATGTTATTGCCCTGTTGATGATATATTTGCTTTTTAGATTGTTTTAATTCTTATACACCATTTGAACAGTTTATCAAAGCTTTAAATAAATGAGAAAAACAGTTTCTGATCATATGGTCAAATAAAGTTGGTTTGAAGGAGTTTAATAGACACTGCAAGGGATGCTTCATACAGGAAGAGTTTGTTGTGGAAATGCTGCATAATTTCAACATTCCACAGCTGAAAACAGGGTCTTGCATGTAACACTCCTTAACTGCTTAAGCCCCTCACTATTCCACATCTACTCTGCCTACAAAAATCCATCCTCTTCCGATTTAAAAGCCAAACATGTATTGCTCTTTTGGTTAAACGTATACAGTTGCATCCAGTCATGTTTACAGAGCCATTGAACTCAATGGGACAAGTTAGAGATGACCAAATTAATTCCAATTTATTTCAGTGGGTCTGCTTTGGTGATGCAGAACCTCAGGACCCAAATTTGGCCTGCTTAGGGTTCCAATCCAGACTGCCCATGTTCCACAGATAGGCACCCTCTCTGTCCACCCCGCCCCAAGCTACTAAACATGTGGTGGTGTCCCAGCATATGTACCTTTCCTTTCAGTCTTCTAAAAGGCTGAAATGCTTTTCTGAAGGCTTAATTGCTAGCAGTGAGTGTTAAGCTAAAAAATATGCTGTCATTCTTGGCTATGATCTTTTGTCTCACCATTCCCCGCTTTGGCCCCTCTCTCCACTGGAATGCAGCCTCCCCAAGAGTTTCTCCAAAATGGAATTCAGTCCTTGAGCTGAAAGGGGCTTTCATGCATAGATCTCACTCATAGCAAAACAGCCCAACACTCTGTAAAGTTCAACAGTATGCATTCAACGCTCCCAAATACTCCTTATCAAGGCAGTGTGTGAAACTGCATACTGCCTAGTGCACATGTGTATGAATTTACAGGCATGTGCACTAGACATAAGATACATCAGACCAACAAAATGCATTGTACTTTCACTTCACTTTCCAGAATTATAATTTGCCGCAGTCTTGCTTTCAGCCTGGAGCCCAGTACACCAAGGCTTTGAATCTTAATGGAACAACATTCTTGTTAAGCTCTCAGTCCTGAATCAATTACCCACCTAAGAGAGCTGTGCCTCTTCATGTGGGCTGGGGAAATACAAGGACATGGGCCAGGTGTATGTCAGAAAGCAGCAAAGAATGTGTAAAGAACCCTCAATTATTTTTAGGGGAGTTTTTTTAAAAAAACATAGATTTGGGGGATTGAAAGATCATTAACGTTAATCCAGTACAAATGGGCACAAGCTTCCCCACTTCTTCAGACTTGGTTGAAAGGATCAGTTCTGCCCCAGATCTATCAATAATAATAGGGATACAAGGTTGAGCTTTCCACAGCTGCATTAACTCTTTTCCAACAGATGCCCTTCTCAGTAAGTCTCCACAAACCTGGAAATGTGGAAACATCTATAAATAAATGGGGCAGGGGGTGGAAAAGGATTGCTGGTCATCCCATTTTGCTGCTGGTAAACAAGTTCTGCAGGGGTTTCTATTTTTTTCAAAAATCTGCCAAACTCACTCCAATTACAAAATTGGCACAGACCGAACAGGAGGGATGCACCACAGGGAGCAACGGCTCTCACAACCCTTGCACATATCATCCCTGTTTCAAGAAGTAGAGCACGGCTAATCATTCCTCCCTTGCCACAAGCGAAAGCTGACTGTCCACACTCCGAAGGGGTCTAACATTGGTGGGGTGTGTAGCTCGCTCTGTTCTGTCTGTACACTGAGCACAATGTAGCAGCGAGCGCTATTGTGTCATCTATTATTCCAGCTCTGCATGATCACCACACGCCTTTTTCCTCCCTTTTTTGAAACAGGTACTTTTCAGCATCATTTAGCACTGTGTGTGATTTTTCTTTAAAAGTGGGGAGGAAAAGCTATACTGCAGGGAAATGGATTGTGACCTTAATTCTGAGTAAATGTGGTTTCGCATCAGTTTTACAACTAGCCACTGCCCATTTTCCAAAGTTCCAATTTTTCAAAGAAAAAAAGGAAGGCAGCAATTGAAATGGACAAGCTGCCAGTTTTTCCTCAATGTCACCTTTAATATATATATAAACACATTTTTTGCTCAATTTCAGAGTGCCTCACTTCAGCACAATGAAAATGTGAATTTAAAATAATCAATTGTGCACCAGCAGGACAGCAGCCTTACTTTTAGCTCCTGCTCAGAAGTGCCATTATAATCTATGGGATTTCTCCCTTTGTAAATGGAGGAAAGCCTTGCAAGAGGGCAAAGCCTTGCTTTGTAGGGCATAAAACAACTGGACACGTGCAGCAAGTGATGGAGAAAGGAGGGGTATCCTGAAGATGGCATCCTCTTTCCCCAGAGACAACTCCTCCCACATTTTCTGGCCCATGCTGGATGAAAAATGGCACCACTTGGCTATTCTTTTCTCCTTACAAGAACATTTTGCAGATAGAAAGAAGACAGGTATAGCACTGAGAAAATACAGGCTAATTATCAGTTGATTATTACCATCCAGACCATAGCTAAATTCCTTTGAATGAGGCTGGAGAATTGCACAACTAAAGCACTATAGGAAACAGAGGAAAACATTGATTGGGAGGCAGGGTTTTGGGTGGCGAGTTGCTGTGCTGCTTTTTAAACTTTGGTAACATTTCCCCTTGTGGTTCTACAATGCTGTTTTACAGTCTTAGATTGTATACTGATTATATTATTGCTGTCCTATTTGTTTGGAAAAGGTTTTCTGGGAAGGCAGTGGGTGCTTCCTCCTCCCAAAAAATTATTTTTAAAAATACTGAAGATGTACTTTTATATAGCCTAGAGCCAGGATCTACAGCAGAAATTCATATTTTGAAAGAGAAACCCTGTTATTCTATACTACGCTGTCATCTAAAATGAGAAAGGTAGGGACTGATTAAAATAATGTTCTCTTCATGAGGAGCTTGTACAATCAGTCCAGTGGGTAAAGTACAATAACCACTTGAAGAAAGCAGTAGTGGCAAAGACAAGCAAGGTGGCTGGGAGAGGTCGGGGCCCCTGCAACCCCTTGTAGCAGTGAGCAAGCACTGCTGCCAGTACCATTTTTCTAGGACACGTAAAGCAAGTCTGCCTTCTATTATCAATCAAGATACATAGCAATGAAGAACTGATTTTGACCCTTGTGCAGCACACATGTGCATGGACACACAAAACATGCCAAATCCTATCCCATATAGGCTATATGGGATGTATAACACGTCATGTTACATGTTAAAACCATTTGTTTTGTACCATTTCGCTTGCCATGGCTTTCCGCCTAAGAATGCTGGGAATTGTAGTCTTGAAGCTTCTATGGAAATTTCAATCCTCTCCAAAGTGGAGCTCACCATAAGCAGTCCATAATGTCCATACAGGTATAAACACAGACCTTGAGAAATATATATATATATATATATTTAAAAAATCACAAAACAAGACTCATCAAGCTATCAAAATCTTTTAAAGGGAAACTAGAGTACCTGTCTTCTATCTGAAGGAAAAGAAGCTGTTTGTCTACAAACATCACCTTAGTTAAATAGCATCATACTCACATTGGAACAGAGAATCATGGTGTTGTAGGTCTGAGAGTTCTATTGCCTCTGTTTGAGAAATAATTATTTGAATCATACTTTTATTCATATTGGCAGAAAGAAAACCTGAAATTAATCTGAGTTGTTAAAAAGTAGTCAGTGTTTTAACACAAATGTTTTACTGCACTTATCTTCTAGCTTCCATTTGCAACCAAAAGAAACCACTCTTGGATAAAAATAAGACAAAGATAAATTCTGGCTGTTTGTGGTTGGCAGGAAGTGAGTTCAAAAGCAAGCAATACCAGGAAAACCAACTGCTCATCACAGTTGCTTTTGTGGATGGGGGTGGGAAGCACAGATAAGGTCCTGAAACTGAACCAGAGATATCCAGCGTGCCACTCAAACTCAAGAATATGATGCTGGGATGAGCAGAGGAATCTATAACAAAAATACCTCATTCTTCTTAACTCAGCAGAGGCAGTTAAGCACACCAGGGTTGCCTTGTTTATCAATGCTGTTGAATCAGTACGCCCTAGATCAGACCTTCTCCCAGAACCAGATGATCTAAGAAGGAATTGCTAAAGTTCTTCAGGAATTGTGTGAGGTAGCCAAGAACTGATCCAGGGAAGCATGTGTGGGGAGGGAGGGAGAACTAAAAATAGTAACTGTCAGGAGGCAAGCACTCTACAACCATTTGACCCAAAGTCCATCCACAAAGAAAATCCAAATTACAAAGGAAAATTCAAAAATAAGGGCTTGGAGGTGGGACAGCCCTTTTTATTATAATATATGTAATAAAAGTTAGTCTGAAGAGCAGTTCACACATTTGATCAATGGTAGCTGAACAAGTGAACTGCATTCTATTTGAGATCATGTGATGGCAAGTAATGATGTTCTCACTGTGGTGTCTCTTTCTAGGAAGGGTTAGTTATACATTGTTATGAACATGTGAACTAGAATCGTGTGACTTTGCCATGATGGAAAGACTGAGGAAAAAGGCTGCACGTCCACAAGAACTCCTCGGATCTCATTTGTTTCCTCTGTACTATTGTTCCTATAATATTGTGTTTTGTAACTAACACATGCAAGCATGAACTCCCCTCAAAATAGTTGTGAATATCTGTACACATCCATAACTTTACTGCATTGCCAGTTATACTAGGTTTTCCAGTGCTGCTGTGTGTATCACACCAACTGCTTTCATGCATCAGAGATAACCCGATAGAATACACTGGTAGGCTGATTTTGTGTGTATGAAATGAACCTTGGAATAAAAGCAAGAGCATGCAAGCACCCCTCCTCCCTAATGCTTTTTGCAGTCCATGGATTTTTGTTAAAACCTTGAGATGCTAAGCTTTAGTTTTAAGAAGTGACACTGAGCTCTTGCAGATGCAAAAACACAAGGCAAGCAATGTATTTGAGTGATACAGCAAGCAAAAATATCACTTCTTTCCCCATCCCAAATAATGTAACCCAAGATATTGGGTCAAATATCTTGATGGAATAGTAAGGCAAATTTAAGGCACTTCAGTTATCTTGGGTGGCTGAAAGCCTTGTTTAATAAGAGTTATGATGAAGCCCAATTTAATAAATAATATGTAGCATTTATATAGCACTTTGAATATTCAGAACACTTTGTTGTAATCTTTACAACATCCCTGTGAAGCAGGAATGTATTACTCCTATATTTCAGAGTGGTGTGAAGCTGAGAAAGAGTGGGTTGCCTAAGGCTAGTAGGGGGTCCATGGACAGGGCAAAGTTTGACTTACCAATTCAAGCCCTTAGCCAGTAAATCACATCAGTTCTTCCATTTTGCTTCAATGGCTTCCAGATCCTGCACCCCAACCCCCGCACAGGTCCACCACTCACCCTCCAGCACACAAAGCACTGACACAAATCTACCAGTTTGGTTCCCCCACCCCTTCTGGTATTTATAAATCAGAGTTGCTGCTTGTGTATCACACTGGACAGAAGGCTTGTGTTAACCCCTCCTGCAACAGGCACAGAAAAAATTCTGTTTTTTCTGATTTTGTCTTACAAGATCTTGAATGGTCAAACATTATCCCCCCCACCCCCCATAAGACTTTGACCTCACAGAAGTCTATAGTACTGCAAAGGTAATGAGTGCTTGAGTATCATAAACAGAGTTCCTCACAATGCCTACTGGGAAGGGCAAACCCAGCCAAGCTCTAAAATGTGTAAAGACCAGGCATGCTTTTCTGTGCTCATAGCTGAGCAAAGAAAATGGCTTAAGACAGGGCACTCAGTTTAGCCCTTGGGTTAACATGAAGGGCTAGGCACTCAAAATGACAGGAGATGTAGAGAAGCTGAGCCTTGACAAGTCCTTGCTTTGTTTGCCTTTGATATTATGTGAAGCACATACTGCTGGTCTTACACGGTTAGTCCTGAGATTTGTGTTTCTTTTATTCCTATTAATTCAAGTTGTGCTACAGCAATAGATTGGATGTAAACCGTAGCTTCCAATACTGAGAGCAAAAACACACCCGCCTTCCTTCTCTGTAGTGTGCGCTGTCCAGTTTTGTGTGCATGCTGCCTTTTGGACAAAGGTCTTGGCAAAATTATAGTGGGACAGATGTGACCACAGGATGGGCAAATACAGCCCTCCTAGCGCTGGTGAAGAATGCCCCTTTCCTGAATAGGTTAAATATTCATGCACAGTGAGAGAGACAGTAGATGAGGTCTGCAAGGAAGGGAACCAAGGGCAGCTGGGAGGGAGAGCAGGAGACCAGACTATCCATGGGAGGAGAAGATTGGCCGGCTGATGTTGCTGTTTGTTGTCATTGCTGCGAGTTCCCATCTGCAAAGACAATGGACAAAACTGAAATACAGGTATAAAAAAGCACCAGCTATTTCAGCTTTCCAGCTGTTGAAACACTGACAAAGCATAGCTCAGTGGCAGAGTATGTGTTTCCAAGTGCAATCTTTCATGACTCCAGTTAGAAGGCTACTGCAATGGATGAGTGGAAAGATCCCAGGCAGAAACCCTGTAAAGCAGTTGCAGAGAAGAGAACATTGGGCTACACAAGCATGTAGCATGACTTGATAAGGCAGCTTCTAATGTTTTTTAATGCTGGATGGATGAAGACCCTGAACATCTTTGCATGAGGACAAATAGCTTACCTTATGTCATGAGGGAGGCAAGACTGGTCCAGATTGTACTGGATTACTGCCAGTTTACACAGTGTTTTTAAGCTGGGACCTGAAGAAAAAGAAACAATGTGATAGAAATTGCACCTCTAGAAAGGAGTTTATGATGAACAATAAAGGCAAGCCAAGCTGACTCAGTGGATGGCTTCTACACCAGGACATGGAGAGAGCAGGACTATAGCTACGCAGCCTGATTTCTTTAAAAGCAAAACAAAACCAACCAAACAACCAAGAAAATTCAACCCAGGCAAAGCACCTACTGAAGCATGACATGATGAGAAAATGCTCACATACTGAAGTCTAAGATGTACAGGTCGGAGTGATCCATCAGGTCAAATTCATCTCCTATGCCTTCCTCTGGGGATGGGCTGCAGGAATCAAAAAGGAGTCCATCAGTCATTGACACCCACCTCAAATGAAGCTTGATTCATAACCAATTTTGAAATAATTCAAAGGCTTTCCTGCATTTAAAGTTAGTTAAGTAAAGTGCAGATGCCTGTAGCAATGGATTCTTTTTAACCACTGCAGTTGTTGCTAGACAGGCCAACTTTGTGTACTCTATTCTATTCCATTTATTGTCTTTGTTCTATGTGATGTCATCATCTATTTTCTTAACCAACTGGATTATTTTCTTGGCCTCTTCTATATGTATTCCTATCTGTTCCTGAACACATACAGAACAGAATTACTTCTGCAAAACATGACAGTCTAGGCTAAAGAATCATTAACTATCAGGGATGATATGGCAGGTTCCTAAGTAGGACATGAATGCAATGACACCTTCCCACTTGTGTTCCCCAGCAACTGGTATTAAGAAGCATCTGCCTCAAATATCAGAGGCAATATATAGAAAGCCTTTGGGCTATTGGGTGGTTAAAGCCAGCCAGCCAGCCAGCCAGCCAGCCAGCCAGCCAGCCAGCCAGCCAGCCACTGACCACCTTGCCCACTACATACTAACATTTAATTGACTGTTACTCTACACTAGCCAAACTTACAGGGATTCCACACTTGACTTCTGTTGTTTTCTTCACCAAGACTGCTATTTAAGAGTCCCTACCTCAGGGCAAAAGCTCTGCATTAAGTCTTTCAATTAAGTACTATGAATAATTGTGTAATAAATTAATCTCTGCATACTGGATTCTTAAGTGGACACAAAGTAATGCCTAGAATAGACAAGGGCAAAGAGGCACAGAAGATCCTCAGCTGTGGTTTAAGAAAGGAGAAACCCATGCATGTATGAAAGAAGATACTTTGGTGCATGGCCCAGATCTGTTTGTACAAACGTCTGTCCATTTGCTTGCTTGGTTTTCTCCAGTCTCTCTCCACCTCTAGCAAACAAACAAGGCTTCCTGCACTGCCCTCACAACAGGCAAAGCCGGATGTTCTGGCACCATCTGGAGATTTCATTATCACAGAAGGTCACAGAGACCCTTAGCAGACAGCCAACTTGGGAGTGGGGTGGGATTAGATTTAGACTTGGAATCAAATCACTCCACAGCACCAGTGACGTCTAATTTCTCTGAAGTTGAAAGAGTTCCTCCCTGTTGGGGATTTTTTTTAAAGAACAGAGAGGAATTGTACAAACCACACACTTTAAACAAATATAATGTTAAGAGTAAGAGGAAAGCATTTCATATAAATAAGAATCCATCAGCCAGCTTCTCACCTTGCTGTCTTGCTGTAAGGTTAGGGCTCAGAAACAGCGAGACAAAGTTTAAACTATGGATCACCCACCAGAGTTCTTGGAAACATAAACAAACTGACATCCAGGCTGCAAGATGGCTCCAACTTTATTGGGGCACTGGAGCTCAGTATATGCAGCAAAACATTCATTTGGCCCATGTACCCCTCATGATTAAAAAAGTGCCCCCCCAAAAATCACTGGGTATAGTGCATAGGGCCTTGAAATATTTATATGCTTTAATTCCTGTCTTTTAGACAGCTCTTAATACCAAACAGTTCCCTGACGTCTAGTCTATTGCTACACTGGCTTCTTTGGAAGCCAGTAGATCTGTTAGCTTCCATTTCTATAGTGTTTACTGTATATGTTCAAGTAAATCCAATAAAATTAGGAATGAGGATCCACTGTTTGGCCTCCTTCAGACAACATGACAATCCATCATGAATTGTTATCACAGGTTGGTTGTCATGTTGTATGAATACAGCCCAAGTCATTCAGGGTGGGTGGTTTTTCTTCGAGCAATCCATCCTGAGAATCCAGGAGCTGTTCTAGAGTTACTGTCACCTCCAGTGGGTTATGTCATCCAAACCTGGACAATATAATCCAACATGGGTAAACACCAACAACCGATGAGTCATTTGAGGAGAGCAGCAAAAATCCCTTGTCTCTGTTGACAAGCAGCTGCCAGGTAAGTACAGCTGACAGCACCCTCCACAGTACCCCTGTAGGAGGTTGATCCTGTTGTGATTCTGACAGCTCTGGCAAGCCGAAATCAGCTTGCAATTGTGGCTGTTAGAAAGAGGACACTTTCCTTCTCATGGTATCCTCTGAGAAGAAGGGTAGGAGTGAATGGATCATTATGGATAATGACCCTGAGCATCTATCGGGCTGATCATGGGCATTTGCAAAGGCAACCCATTGTGGCATATTGTGGGGGGGAGGTTGTTGTGTGAACTTAGCCTCCAGGACCCTTGGGAATTCGTCTCCAAAGAATCAGGTCCTGTCCCATCAACAACTATCAAGTAAAAATCACAGCACAAGGTAAGGGTGGTAGGGGCTATCAGATGTATGAGCAAGACTACAGGATGAATATAAAGGCTTAAATAATTCACAGATTAGTAGAGGATGGGGAAAAGTGAACAGAAAAAAGAGAACACAATCTTCCAACCACAATTGAGAAACACAGCACAACCTGAAGGCAAGTGAATAAGCAGCAACTGTTTATATGTGAGAGGCACAGTGGGGTGCCAAAAAAGGTACACCTGCACCTCCTTTGTTTGGAATACAAGATTCAAAGGTAGCCAGGCTACAAGGATTCTAACATAGATTGACTACCTATCCTCACCCTCACGCTATTATTATTGATTTCTAAATCTGTAATTCCTAGATCTGTATGATAGATTCTTTCAGAGACAGAATTTTACTCCAGGTTTGAAACCTAGCATTATAATTTAATAAGCTTATACACTAACATTTTACTTTAGTATCAAATCCATTCAGACAGATTACATTAAAAAGCTAGCAATTTAAGGTCCTGAATAAGAGACATGTGCCAGTGGGAAATTCTCACTCTTTCACCAGAAATCAGAAGATCAGTTGGTGTTATTTATTCTTACCATGAAAAGAGAATGGACTGGGACAATCCCAAACCTACTTTATTAACTTCCTATTGCTTTTGCCATGACCAAGAAGCACCTGTTGCAGAAGAGTGCTGTCTATCTGGGATCAACAGAAACCCCTTTCAAGCATCACCAGTGTTGCAGTTTCCCAGCCAGGATAATCTAATCTTATTTCACATCCACAAGGCAGGAAACCCTAATGCATTCCTTATCTTTGCAAGGAAGAAAAGAGCAGTGTCTACAGTATTATAGACTCTTAACCCTTAAGAGGCATCAGAGTTCAAGGCCAAAATGATTGTTGAAAAACAAAGCCAGACATCAGGGTGAATGGCTCCCATGAAGGGATTAGGGTACCTAGTCTTATCATCCAGGCACTGGAACCAGTCAAGTTAGTGAGTAGGCACTGTTTCACATTCCCTGTCTTAAGCAGTTTGTGCTGCCTGTAAGGTTATCTTAACTTTTTTTTTTTTTTTGGCTTAGCTTAAATTAGTTGGAGGGTATGTTGAAAAAGAAGGCAGCAGTCTTACAGGCCTATCTAGACAGTAAAGCAGAAAATTAAATTCATATAAATCCAAATCAATTTTGTTTGGCTGCAACCACTGTATGCTTTATGCACATAAGGCAGCACTATATATACAGCAAGCCAAGCCTCTCAAAATCAGGAAATGAGGAGCTTAAGAGCAGCCTATCACATTCAAATGCTGTGAAGGATCGAATAGACAGCAATATAGTTCTTCTAGCAGGATCCATCAAAATTATACAGGACATACTTCCTTTGTTGAAGTACTACTAAGGCACTGCATTTAAAAGGTTGGATAGAAATACAACCAATCTATCAATATCTTGGCAAAGGAGTCCCCCTGCCCCACACACACATTCTCACTGATTGGGAAGTTAATTGAATGCTTGAAGGAGGTCAGTTTTAAAACTACCTGGACCATTTTCTTTTCTGTTTTAAGTGTCACCATAAAAAACAAATGTGGCAGTATGAGGCTGTATCATCTCTTGTTGATGAGACAAGAAAACTATCGAGGATTAGCTCCTCCAGGACAGGAGCTACTTTGTTTGCTAGAAACTCAACCTGGCTTTAAATGAGGCACCTGGTTGAGTTTCTATACAGGTATAGCCATGCTTGAAAAAGGATGCAAAGCTTTTTGAGACATGTGAAATAAGATTTATGTATGGCACCTGCAGCAGATGAAGTACACAGATTGGTTTTCTGCAAATGAACTGTTAGAGTACCGTCATGCTCACTGGACAACTCATTATACTCTAGGAATAGGCAGATTTGGAATTGTGGAACATAGATAGTCAGGGCAGAGATTGCTTCATTTTTACTTGTTATGGTTAAATTATTAGAAAACAGGGACCCTTACTGACTTTCTGCAGATCACCTAGAAATCTGTAAGGAAACCCTGATCTGCCGCCTACCTGCCCCTGCTGTATTCCTAACAGAAAACAGGTTTAAAACATTGCCTGAGGCTGGGGGATTATCTCTAGCCCCACCTCCCCCATGCTGAAGATGATACAGTAGTGGCATATTGTTCCCCACTGGGACCAATCATGGTCTCTCATAGGAAAGTGTGGGAGTTCGCAATACTGCTTCAAAACTGTGAAACCTATTTGACCAAATATGTGTGGGTACACCATGGCAGACATATCACCTTCATCTCTCTTGAAATTTATTATTATTTCTCAGCTGCAGGCTGCTAACTAAATGTGAAATACAGGCTATGTAAAAGCAGGGAGATAAGGGCTCCTGCAAGCATACATAGGAAATTTGGCTCTATCTACTGTGTCCTGTTCCATTTTTATAATGGAACCAGAAGCTAGCTGGCTCTTATTCTTACACAAATATTCGCTTAGTCTTGCTCTGTGCTGAAATTTTATCTCTTGCCTTGCCCCTGCCCCCATTTCCTGGTGACCTGTCGCTGCTTTCAGGACAATACAAGATGCAGGAATCTCTTCATTTACAACGACTTCCTGGAAAACATCTTATCAAGCCAAACAGCTCCAGAGCATACCTGATAGCTGTTCAGAGGAAGTGAACCCAGTTCTTCCCCCACTTTTGGCCCCCTTATCCTCACTCGCCACTGTAAATGCAGCCCTATCATACCAGCCAAAGATGTGGGAAGCTATAGTATATAATAAACATTCTTTGCCTGAATTAAGTACAAATTGGGTACTTCTAGTACATCTTTATTCTGACAATTCAGTTGAAGGCAGATGATACAAAGTAGTGTCAAAAAGTCCTTAAAACGGTTATGAAATTCCCTCTTTTGGAAATGCCCACAGTAACATGTTATCTCATCAAATAAGGGCCTTTTATAATTGAAACTAGCCCTATCGTTATGAAAAGCAGCTGGTTTTTACAATGACAAATTCCATGGTGATATATAGCCATCCTGGTTGTTTTCTCATGGATTTGATGGATTCACCACATTAAGCTATGAATATGTAAGGATACAATACTTAATGTGGTTTATGTATATGAAGGGTACAATTTTCCTCATTTTTCTTATTTTCTTCCTTTACTCCCGTACTGTGAAATAACATCCCCAATCTAGTACTAGCATGATTTCACTAGGAATTTCAAAAGCAATTTTTCTGATTCTCTTTTTTATGTTAAAAGAGAATCCCACAGTAACAGGGTAATTGTGAGGAAGAACCACAAGGACAATAAAAAATTAAAAGATGGGTTTACTTAAAACTCGTTCCTACATCCAAATTGTAATGTGCTATATAGAAGGTATGTCTGTTGTGTGTTGTGAGTAAGACTATTAACTGAAGTCATTAGCACAGCTAGATTGGGTTGTCTGTGACAGAGGTCTGCTTCTTTATCAAGCTTCTGAAGTGGGGGCAGGGAGAGGCTGCAGCTTGGTTATTTTGCACTGTCGAAGAATCTGAATCTGCAGTGCATCTCATTCTTGCAGATGATGTTCTAATGATATAGTGATCTGGAACATTGGTGTGCAAGTGTATGCACATATGCATGTGTGACAGAAGAAGAGAGAAAGGGAATGCATATGTACATGTGCAGGGAAGAGGGTCATTTATTCAGCACCTGAACAATCCTCTCATATTTTTATTGTTTAGCTAGAGCAGTAATCACATGAACAACTCTTGTACTTTTTACACATTTGGACGACGGACCAATTCTTCTAAAAGCATAGCTTATGCAGCTATTATTAAGCACTAAGGCAATCCTCTTCATCCCCCCTTCTCTAATTGTGTACTCGCTTTCATGCAAATATCCTGATTTGCATTAGAGTTCCATCCAAACCAGGGAACTCTGGCTTATTGTTAAGTAAGCTAGGATCCTTAGGATGCCTTGAAAGATATTGCAAATTGGGCCAGTATCTTTCACTAAACTAAATTTGTAAGACAGTTTTCAGTGGTCTTGTAAGAGTATTCATTTAGCTCCAGAGTAGCCTAATTTCATCTCTGCTCTCTCTAAATAGTGTCTCCAGTCTGCTTCTTTCTATGCTAAGCAGACTTCCCCAGTTTTAATAACTTATTACTTAAAATGCTTAGAAACTTTCAAAGTAAACAGATAAGGAAGCAATTTGTCATTAATCCAGCTTTGGATCACTCTACATGCTTAGCTCATACTTTTGCATCACACACAGTCACCATCAACATATTTCACACCAGAAAAAAGTTAAAATGGTCTTTAAAAGTTAAAAAGATTTTGTTACACTCACAAACATCCTTGCTTTGAGCAGCTGGCAAATATCTTGACCACTTCCAGTTGACCTGCTTCCTGTTGAGGCCACTGCCAATGTTTGAAATCTCAGTGCCTAACTCTAGTTAATAACACTTCAATTAAATGTAAGTTTGTTATATAGGCTAAAAGAAATTCTGCCACTCAACTAGGCTTTGAAATCACTGCCATGGAAAAGACTGTTTACAGTGCAGTAAGGGTACCTTTATTGCCTCATTTGCACAGTACAGTCCACATTTTTCCCTTTAAACCATAAAATTTTGTTCCTTCGAAAATGCAGCTTTCCTCAAGATGTGGAAACCTCAATTAGGGCAGCTGTGTGAAATGCAGATCTGCAAGTTGCTCTTATGTTCTACTGTTGAGCCTTCCATAGATGTGAAGAATACCCTTGACTATGCAGAACTTCAGTCTGATCCAGCAGGGCTGTTCTTATGTTAAGTGTTACTGGCTGCTGCATGTGACATGTGATGTGAAGAACAACAAGGGGCTTATGCAAGGAAATGTTGCTGCTCCTGCTGGTACCACAGCTGAGCTTTTTCCTCACTGTTCCCTGCCATACCTCCCCTGTATGAAATTCTAGCTGGAAGGGAAGCAGCAGCAGACATCCTCTGTATAACCCATCTCAGGTCTCAGTGATTATGTTCCATTGCCATAAAGAACATGTGAATAACTATGTGGCTGTTTATCCATGCACATGAAGGAACATACAACAATCTGCACTTCTGGACTCAGGTCTATAGGCTAGCATACCACCTCTTTATGGTAGGCAGGGAGCAGTAAAGATAACTGCAGTCATGACATTGCTATGGGTGGCCTAGCTGCCTAAAGATTTGTTTGGAAAAGGTGTAAGCCCCCTCTCCTGACTTGGATGATACATCAAATAAGTTTTTCTTTTAAAGGCCCACATGTGTCTGCCTGAAAAGCAGCATGCTTATTACCACCCATCTTCATGTATACAAAATATCACACCATGATTGCTGGACTGAGGCTCACAGGTATATTCTTCAAAGGATTAATTGTGGATGAGGGATGTTTTGCTTTTATGAAAAGCCCCAGGCAGGCAGTGGCATTCACCAAAAAAAAAACATCAAGACAGGAAATAGACATTGCTCCATGCAAAGGATACAGATATCCAGTCTTTATGCTATGTATGAACGCTCTGTAACCCACAGAATTTTTCAACCATGGGAGCACAGCCCACCCATCCACACACACCTGTATCTCCACAGCACATTTGTACTTTGAAGTAATGCTCAATGATTCTGACATTTTGCTAGAGGTTATGTTAGCCAATTGCCAGGCAAGAATGAAGTAAGGAGGGGTAAGCTTCAAGGCCAAATGAAAACTGTTTAATTAGTGATCAGTTTGGAACCTGAGATTTGGGACTGAGTGTTACTATCCATGCTAAGCCTTAGTTCATTATTCTAAAGCAAGGATTAAAATACAACCACAAGAAAGAGATGTGAGGGAGGAAATGCTAGGTTCTGTAGGAGTAAACAGTTCTCATGCTTTATCATTTTTAGAACACTTTCAGTGTACATACTTGGACCCTGTGAAATAGAGCATTAAATAATTCAATTCTGCAAAAAGGGGAAACAGATCTACAATACAAAATGCTATTAGCATAACCGACAGCCCACCATGGCTTATTTAGGTATATGCCAGTGGCTATTCTGAATATTCAATGCCTACCTGTGGTTTGTCAAGTGAACTCAGGTTCTATGTTCTGTGAGGGTTAAACAGATCCCAGAAACAGACCATGGGTTATAGAAGGGATGATTAACTCATCTTCCCCAGGTTCACATGGCATAACAAGCTGTGACCAGATGCTGATGAGTGACAAATCCTGCTTGTCATGTGCCTCAGTGGGTTGTTTTGATTATGTGAACCAGGTCAAAATGACTTGCATAGAGCCATTCAATGACTGTGAAGCTAATCTGGTATTTGAATTTTCATTTCCCAAGTACAACTACTTCTAGTACTGGATCCACAAAGTTCATAATGTTGAACATAATTTACAATTTTATAGCACATTTAAAAATATTAAAATCAGGTATACATTCTAGTAAAATTCACAACTCTAAGTCTGGAAATGAGAAACTAAGAATCCAATATCCATAATGCACCAGAACCTTCTCCTACCCCAAGTTATGAGGAAGTTCCAAAAAATCCACAAGCAGGACAAGCTCTGTTTTGAAAGGCTCTATGAATGGCTTGGAAGATACAGCAGGAAAAAATGAGTTGGATGATTGACCTATTATACATCATTTCACTGAACTTGTACAGCACAGGAGAAGAAACATGTGAAGAATTTGTGTAGAGGAGTGCTGATCCCCTTTGCAATGAAACAAAATGTTCAACCTGTTCACAAAGGAGTGTTGGCATCGAAAACAGGATATTGGGGTATTTTGTCATTCACCAATAGCACAAGTTCCACAAGCACAGCTGATAAAGAACTAATCACCACAAGCTGACATGCTAGAAAACTCCTTGCTTGTACAGTTTAAAGCATTCTTCTGGTACCATCCAGATGTTTTGAACATCAATTACTAACAGCCCTAAACAACATGGCCAATGGTCAGGGGTGATGAGAGTTTAGTCCAAAGCAGTGGAAGACACCAGGTTGGAGAAGACTAGTTTAGAGTGAAATAGTCAAAGAGTGGCTTTGGAGATTGGTCTGGAGGCTTTGAATCTCCCCATAAGTCAATTTCAAACATCAGAAGTGAACACAGCTTTTAGAATGGTCAATAGTGTGTGTGGGATCAGGCTTGCCTTAAGTCCTCATACAAAGACTCTAAAAGAAGCTTTGTAACTCCTATAGAAGTGCTTAGAACTAAGAAATGAAGTTTCAGATCCACAAGAGCTGGAACACTAAGAAAGCTAATGTGGTACAGGACTCACCTGGTGCCTCCAAAGAGGATGATCTTGTCTCCTACTCTACAACAGCACTGCCTGCGGCGAGGACATGGCCCTTTCCCTTTGGGATCGATTCTCTTCCAGGTAGAAGAAACTGGAGAAAACATGTACACCATGAAAGCTGAGTATCTCAAGCAATCCTGGTACAGACAAGCCACATGGACAAGCTGAAACAGCACAAAAGTTACAACTTATCACAAAGAACCAAACGTTAACCCTTCCATCTCCTATTCTTTCCTCCTTTGTCTCCTTTTTTACTCACTTGTCATTAAAAAAGGGTAAGTCCCTTGGAACAATTGCTCTCCAGGCTCCATATGACTTAGCATCTTATTTTGTAGCAGAAGCATTTCAACGGAAAGCTGGATCTTACACCATTTTGAGTGCACAAAAGTTAGCACATAGGAACACAATACACACAGTTGAGAATTTTTACTCAGAAGTGGAAATGTTCAGGGTTTCCAGTACCATAAAATATCATTTTTTCCTCACAAAAAGTGTTTACTTGCACATTTGATATTTTATTCACAATACAGCAGAGATTTCCTTCATAAAAGCAGAAATCCACTGAGAGCTTATTGAAAATCTTGCTAAGGTGATGCCAATCATGCCAAACAAAGAACAAGTGTAAAGTGTAAAGGCATCCTTACAGAAAGGTAGAGGCTGAATATCTCTGGCACTCAAGTAGCTGAATATATTTTTCATACCTTCATGTGACAGAAGATGATGTGAAGCAACAACATCTTAAATTACATCTCCTAAATCCAGGCTCCAGCCCCAGTCCTCTTGGGACCAATTTGAATGCCCCTCCAAACAGCTCCTGGGTGGGCTGCACAACTGCTTGTGCCATGGCAAAACAATAGGTGGTTTGGCAAGGTTTGGTGGCAAACCACAATGGCTTGAAAATGCAAATTCTGTTTTAAAACAAAGGGTGTACTGATTTGTTTTGCTGCAAATTCAGGTGCAACCAGAAGATATGCATTTGAGGCTATGGGGACTACATGCATTTAGTCTGCAATCCATGTGTTGCCCACCACTATACTAAATAATACCTTCCAATTTCCCTTGGAATATCAAAATTTAAAGTCTCCAATTGAATTATTTTTGGCTTCATTAAAAATGGATCTTTGCAGTATAAGGGTACTTGAAAAAGCAATTTTTCTGGAGGGCAAAAGAGAAAGTGACAATAGTGGAACTAAAAAATACAAACCCACAAGCAAAATCTTTTAGGAATTTTCCACAGATATATGCTTAACTTGAATTTTGAAGGTAAAATGCAGAACTGCTGCCACCTGTTGGTAAGTACATAAAGTACAGAAAACATATCCACAGAGAGGATCACCAGTCTCCTTTTTAAAGAATGAAGATGGGCAAATTAGTTGTATGAACATAAGAAAGAAGAACGAAAAGATGTCACTTCCTGTAATATCCAATGATGAATCTGCCTTAGGAGTACTGAGAAGAGAAAATGTCTCTTTTTATAATACTGGAACTTATGGTCACCTAATAACATTGAGATACAGTAAATGCAGAACAAACAAAAGGAAATATTGTTTCATAAAATTAAAAAAATATGTAAATACATATTTTAATAATGTAATGATCTATACTGTATTACTGACACCACTGACAGCTTCATTTTAAATAGGAAATAAAACACATTTATGGAGGACCCTGGATATTAGAGAGGAAAAGAGATGAGATCTGCAACTAAGTGTTACAGCATAGAGTGTTCCTATTCAGTATTCCAGCTAGCTAGCAAGCCATGCCTTCTTACAGCTACTACACTTTACCACAGCATTTCCCCCCAACAGACTAAACAAATGAGCATGCTCAGTTCTCACTAGACTAGGCGTTGTTTTGAGCTGTCTGAGGTGTTTTTCCTAAAGATGGTTAGTATTACTCTAATTCTAGATATTTCTTTGAGTATCCCAATATTTCATCTTCTTGTTTTTAGTGGTCTGATTTTAGCTGCAATACTACTAGCATTCATCAGCTGAGTTCATTATTAGAAAGTGTGAGAGCAAAATGGAATGTTAGGTTTGGAGACAGTAATTTCCTGAATATTATGGGGGAAGGAGAGCAAACAGCAGGGGAGACTGTTGGCTTCTGGTTCACCACTATCTGAAACAGGGTGCTGAACTAAATGGACCTTATTCTGATCCAGCAGTTCTCTTACATGTTTAGGTTCTCTGGAAGGTGAACCCATACAGGCAACTGTTACCAACATATCTGCTCAAGCAATGACATTTGCTGTCAGGATTTCTGGAGACATTTATTTATTTATTTATTTATTTATTTATTTATTTATTTATTTATTAAAACATTTATATGCCGCCCCATTCGCCGAAGCCTCGGGGCGGCTTACAACATAATAAAAATTACAATAATAACAATATAAAATATAAAATAACAATATAAAATAAATAACAATATAAAAGAAGTCGCTCTGGCCAGACTTCTTCCCAGAACACAAAAAAGTCATGCTGGATCAGACCAAAGGTCCATCTAGTCCAGCACTCCATACACATGGTGGGAAACCAGTTGCCCGCAGGATCTCTTAAGCAAGGTGGGTGTAAGAACTCCACCAGCCCAAGCTCCTCAACAGCTGGTGTGTGCAGGCATGCCGCCTCTGGTAAAGGAGGTAGTACACAGCCAGCAAGGCTAGGAGCACTGATAGTCTCCTCTTCCATCAATGTGTCCAGTCCTTTTAAAGCCAGTCAAATTGGTGGCCATCACCACTTCCCATGGCAATGAATTCCATAGTCTTGCCATGCATTTGTGTGAAGAAGTACTTCCTTTTGTCTGTGCTAAACCTCCTACCAATCAGTTTCAAGGAATGATCCTTGGGATGATCTGCCTAGAAAACCCTATGGGACCATTAGTGTGGAATACAAGTTAAATAAATAAATAAAATGACCCTTGGTTCCAGCGTTATGGGAGAGGGAGAAAAATCCCTCTCAAGCTGAAGCAGGTAGTTTTTGATTCTTTGTTGGGGGAGGGGAATGCAATAAACTAGAATTTTAAATCTCTCCTGCACCAGTATGTCTTCCTTCTGGCTTCAACTTGCAGCTCACTTGTGGCATGGGATATGTCAAGGAGAAGGTGGGAACTACCGTGGGAATAGCAAAGAGGAACTGAAGAAGTCAGAAAAACTGGTTTACAGAACAGAGAATTCAGGGACATCCAAAGTGCAAGGGTGCTTTAAAATTCTTCCTTCCTTCATTTTTAAATCCAATCCTCTGAAGCTGAGAAGCAGTCTTAGAAGCTGAAGCAGTCTTGGCTTAGTGGGTCTCTGGCTAAGCAGGGATTTGAAGCTAGACCTTCTAGGACCGTTCAATACTTTAATCCATTAAATCTTACTGAAGGACCAGCATTCCTCTCAGTGATAAAGGAGAGGATGCCAGATAGGTTTCTGTATTATTACAGAGGCCACTGTTATGTCCTCTACTTTTAGCACAGTAGTTGCTACAGCTGTGCACACAAGAGTCTAGCCCCTGAGCAAGGAGCTGGGGGGGAGGTTCAACCCCCCAAAAGTAAAGTAGCTGTGTATTCCTGTGTAAAACAAAATTGCTAGAGAACTAACCTACCAGCTGTGATAGGTTAGCTGGATAAAACTTCCTGGATAAAGCTAGAGTTCTTATTACCTCTTTCTCCAAGTTACTGGTTAGTGATAGTCAAACTACTATAAAAGAGCAATTACAAATTAAAATGCTCTTAATGTATAAAAAGAATTCTCTTATTCATCAAGAGTAATCTATCCATCAAAGCCATGATTCACAAATCTGCTGTGCAGAATGGCATCCACAACAGTGACACACCCCAGCCATAGAGACACTACATGCCCCATAAGCCCCGCAATAAGCTCTGGTGCTATTTTTAATAGCAGCAGAGTCAGGAAAACCACATAGCCAGAAGCCACAAGCTCAGAGTGCCCCAAATTCCAACCTATTATATACAACCTAGATTTGCTGCACAACCTGTGTGCCATGTAGCACACCCTCCAGCAGTGCTTGGGGGCTTTCTGGGGAGTGGCTGTTTGTGCTAACACTTCCTTACCATTACAATGAAGCCATCCCATCTGTCCCTTGGACTGCAAGGTGATCAAACCGGTCAGTCCTAGAGGAGATCAACCCTGACTGCTCTTTAGAAGGCCAGATACTGAAGATGAAACTCAAATACTTTGGCCACCTAATGAGAAGGAAGGACTCCCTGGAGAAGAGCCTAATGCTGGGAACAATAGATGGCAAAAGAAGAAGGGGACGGCAGAGGATGTGGTGGCTAGATGAAGTCACTGAAGCAATTGGTGTGAGCTTAAGTGGACTCTGGGGGATGGTGGAGGACAGGAAGGCCTGGAGGAAGGTTGCCCATGGGGTCGCAATGGCAATGGGTCGGACACGACTTCACGACTAACAACAACAACATCCCATCTGTGAATGGACCTCAAATCATCATGATAAATTATCACTTCAGCTAATCATATTAATTAGTCTCTAGTTTATTGACCTCATTAGTGGTTACTTATGGAATGTCTATTCCCTTTGTTTGAGCACATGCTTCCTACACCTGCTGCACATAATGCATCATATAAAACATACAAGAAAAATGTTCAGTGCATAATTGCAGTCCTGATCTTAAAAGAGATTCTTAGAGGTTCCTGCCAATACCAATAATAGAAAGCAATTTCAATCCAAATACCTGGATCAAATTTCCAAAGATCATGGAAATGTCTGTTCAGACGTGCATTGTAGCCACCAAATATATACAGCTCTCCATTGTAGCCAACTGTAGGAAACAAAGGAAAACATGTCAGAACATTGAATTTCATTGAAAGGGGTTTGAGTTAATCCTTTTTTTCACATGCCACTTCCAGAACAAACATTGTCTGCTTGTTTCAGATTAAGAATAATTTCAGATGGAGGTACAGAGGACGGAGAGAACAGGAATAAGCAATCATTATTTCTCGTTCTTTTTCATCTTATCCAAAACTGATTGGTACTTCCTTTCATGAATGATGTACAGACCTGATTTTAGATGAGGCAGAAAAGTATGCAGTACAGGAAACACAAGTCAGTTAACTTGCTGATGCCCAATTCACTTCTTTCTCCAAAAGCAAAGGGCAACTTATGGCTTTTTGAAGACTTTTGTGTGATCTGCCAAGCATTTTATTTTATTCAGATCTCAACCCTTTGCAAGTTCCACAGAGTGTTATGATAGCTTACATGCTGAGTGACTCCTTCTGCCTTCAGGGAGGAGGGGAGCAGGAGGAGAATCCAGCCAAGAGTTGGTATCTGTGTCAAATACTTTGATTTGGTTACAGTAAATCTCATTGTTGGAGTGGAATGGCCCAAAGCGATCTGCTCTTCCCCCAAACACATACATCTTTGTCCCAATTATTGTGGCTGAGTGGAAATCTCTCCAACGAGCTGGTGTACCCTGAAATAAGAGACTCCTGTTAAGTAAGTCAAAGGGAAATGCAAGGTTACTTTAGAAGTGAGAGACAAGATAGGACAAGCTGCTTACTTGTAACCATGGTTCTATAAATGACAATCTGTCAACTCACACTTATGGCTTGCATGCCTGTGCAGAACAGTCATTCTATACATTCTAGAGCTGAATAGAGGTCAGGTGGCAGACCTCTTCATCCCTTCTGAATATGCCCTGGAGGTGGCTCCCACCTGTTCTGAGTATGCCACAGCTGAGGAAACAAAGAAGGTGGGTCACCTAATTGGGGAGGAGGATAGGTTGTATGAATTCATAGAAGACCACTGGAAGAACCACAGTTACAGGTAAGCAACCTGTCCTCCTTCTTTATGGTCTCTGTCACTCACACATATGGGAGACCTATCAGAGGAGGAAGATGTGACACTAAAACTATAAAAGGAACAACCCTGCCAAAGGCTGAATCTGCCTGAACCCAGATGTCTAGGCTGTAATGTTTGATGGACGTAGATAGCTGAGCCCAAGCTGCAGATCTGCATAGCTGTAGAACTGGAAGGCCCTGAAGAAAGCAGCAAAGGATCCTACAAACATAGACTTCTTGTGGGGGCTCAAAGCTCTGGACTCTGGTAAACAAGAAATACAATTGGCATGAACCACTTGGGATTTGCACAAAAAGCCCAGTGCTTGGCAAAACACTGTGAAGATACAAGGTGTCCCTTCTTTAGGTCAGAATGGCAGATAAATAGTTAAGGGGACATTCTGAACAATGATGTTCTGTTTAAATAAAACAATAGTCTCCCTTAACATCTAAGGAATTAAGTTTGATCTTGCGGAAGAAAGAAGGTAACACAATGTCCTGAACTGGATGGAACTGTGAAACTACTTTGGGAAAAAAGAACAGCCTGGGCACAAGACAACCTTACCTTAGTGGAATGCAAGGAATGGTTGTTCATGCTAAAAAAGCACTCTTCATGCCAAAGAAACAGCAATCAGAAAAGCCATTTTCATCATAAAGAGCCTTACAAAGCAGTAGCCAAGGGCTAGAAGGATTTAGCTCTAAGTTGTGCCAAGACCACCAACAGGATCTGTGCCCAAATAGGTGAGGAAATGGATAAAAGTTGGAAAATTCTTTAAGGAAAACAATTCCTAAAGAACAACCCTGGAATTCTTGTAAGGAATTCTTGCACCTTAACATCAAGGTGCAAGTTCATGGCACGTTATGTGTAGCCAGTACTGCTCCTAAGTAAGCTTTAATGCATGAGCGTCAGATGCATAGTTTTCAATAGAAGAAAGAAGTCCAATATGTGAGCAGGACAGCAAGGTTCCAGGTTCAGTCTCTTGTGGATAAGAAAGGCCCAAATCCCTTCTAGTTAGTGACATTTGAAGTCTGAATAGAAGGCATGTGGGAATCATCACCTCCAAAATCTCCTTGGAGAATTGGTTAAATCACATATCCTCTATCCAGTGTGGTCAAGAGTTTCTAGTAGAGGGTGTCTGAAATTCTTTCTGTGCACTATGAGGGATGCAATACAAAACACTTGCTAAAAAGTGAGATCTGACAAGCGGAGCAGTGTTGCAAGCCATGCCTGTCTTGGGCACAATGGGGTTATTGGGCCCAGACTGTAGTCTGAAAGCATATAAGGATCCACCATGATGAAGCTAAGAAGGTCTGGGGCTGGCCTGAGCTTGAGGGGAGACCACATGGGAACAGCATGTAGCCACCTTGACTTCCAGTGGGAGAAAGGTAGGATCTAGATAGACAGACAGACAGAAATGGGCACTATCATCCTGTATTTTGCCAAAAGGCATGCGATAAAGGAAAAGGAAGGAAGCAAAAGTTCCATTCCTGTGAAAGAGGAGAGTCTAGGTTGTGTCCCACCTTGCAACAGAAAACATCACTTTTGTGTTCAGGGCCATAAGAGGGGTGTTCCACATGTGGACAGTCTAAGGAAGTTCCCACTCATGAGTGATCATCCTTGATTTGCTTTGAGAATCCAGGAGTTGAGATGTGGCAGCCAGTAAAGCTGGTTTTGGGAGTTTTGGCAGGATCCCATCATGGAAAAAGCTGGCTGGTGAAGTGCAAAGATTGAGAAGCAAGCGAGTAAATTTAGGTACAGTAGTTAGCTTGCAGTAGCTGTGCATCAAATGGGTCAGATATACTGAAGTAAGTGTCTTCTTTTATGGCCTTTCTATGGTATACTTTAGTGATGTCAGAGGATACTTCTCAATGAAGCCAAGAAGGTGAGATTTCTTAGTAACCAGGTGATCTACCCCTATTTGGAGAGCAGTTCCAAGGAACATAGCAATACTATTCCAGGAAGAACCACTTCCTGAATTCATTTTCTTATACTAACCCAATACATTGATCATTATCTGAGGAGTCACAATCCCATAGGAACTGCAGCTTCTCCAGAATGGTTGTGAACCCATCAGTACTGAAGGTTTTGGTGTAGGCATAATTGTTGACTCATTATCTGACTTGATCCACAGGTGTTCTTTCTCTTTTCATTCTTCAGTCCTGGTGCCTGGAGATTAGCAGTTTGTTCTGATACTTGGTCAGTTTAACCTGACATTGGTACAGAGGGCTAGGCTGCTATTTGTCAATGGTTGGGGGGGTTTAGCATTTTAGCTGAAACTGTTGCCAAAGTAAGGGCTGGTATTTCCCATACCTAGATGGGTGTCTTCCATGGATGGGGTCCCTGAAATAAGTGAAGAGAGGGGCAGAGCTAACATTTTGAAATTGGAGAACAAGATAGTAAATGGAGGTGGATTCAGTGTGGCTGTTTCTGATGCCTTGGGAGCCTGTTCCCACAGAAGGGCATTATATAATTATATTGTTAATTTGTTTTATATTTTTAATGTATTATATTTTAATTTATGTTGTGAGCCGCTTTGGCGAATGGGGCAGCATAGAAATGTTTTAAATAAATAAATAAATAAATAAATAAATAAATAAATAAATAAATAAAGCATACCATTCTGTTTCTCCTGGCCTGCTTAGTAAAATCCTGGGCAGTGGCTACCACAGTCTACTCTGTGTGCCTCGTTCAAGTTAAGAGTGTAGGAGTGCCCACTGGTTAACAGTATCGTCCCATGGCATCAAATACACTTTTTAAAGAAGACTTTGGAGGCCATGCCACTTTAGTGGGGGGCAAGGGGAGTGAAAGTTGTAAGGAAGAAAAGAACTCAGAGAAAATAGGAAAGGGAGAAAGGAACGAGCAAAGGGAGAGAAAGTGCTAAACATTCTAGAAAAAGAATGAAACAATGAATTAAACAATTTTGTATCACAATAGTCATGAGGAAGAGTATGTTCCAAATCTTTCTAACAGCATAGGTCGATAAAAAGAAACCAAATCAAAAGGAAAACCGAAGCCATAGCAGCAGCAGACACAGAAAGGGCAGGCAGAACTCCCACCTAAATTCTATTCTGCTCTTGAGTGTTTACAATTTCTGTTCTGCACAGGTGCACAACCATATGTATGGCTAATGGGGCAGGTCAGAAATCTAATAAACACACACATAGATAGATAATATCTCTAAGTAACAGGAACCACATAAAAGAAGGTAATATGATTTGGGTGTTCACAATTGGGTTGACTTTTAGCTCAAGCAAACAAAAATTAAACAGGATGTAGATTCACACACAAGACATCAATACTGACCTTGGTACAGATCAAACTCCACATCATGTTGCTACTATCCAATTTGTGAATGTCATTTGAAAAACAATCAGCCTGAAAGAAAGAACAATTATTACATTAATGGGTGTGTCAACACTAGAACTGAAACTGAATCTAGGGTTCTTAAAGAAAAACTTGGCTACTTTACTTTTCAAAGATGAAAATGCTATAAAATTTAGTTCTTCAGGATTTCCTCATGGTGTTAAAATATTTTCAGGAGACTAAAAATGTGGCTCAAAAAGCAAAATAATTCTTTATCAGTATTTACATATTATTCAAAGCATACAATGAATATGAATTAAGGGCCTAACAAACTTTGCTATAATAACCTGCCATGATAAAACACCTCCATTTTACAGACAGGAAGAACAGCCAGAGAGTAAAGCTATCATTTGCAGCAACGTACCATGGTTCTGAATGCTTGGCTTGAGTGTCAAGAGCTGCCCATCTTCCTTTGTCAGAAAAAAATGCTAAATGTAAGGTGCACTCAAACTCAGCTGGACTTGTTAAATTGTCACCAAAACAAGCAAGAGGAGTCTCAAGATAAATATTCCAAGAAGAATATACAAGATGGAAGATACAATTTTGCTGGCCTTGATAAAAATCTGTAAGACTTAGATCTGCCAAAAAGATGCAAAGATAATTTGGGGGAGGATTGCTGAGCATTCCCTTAAATCTCAAGACCATCTCCTATTTTGCTTCAGTGTCCCAGACATGGGTTCAAAGCTCTGTTCAACCACAAGCTCCTTGCATGGCTTTGGTGACTTTTTTCAAATGACTTAGTTCCCCAGCTGGAAAATAAGAATCATCTACTTTGCAGTAATTGCATGAATGAGTTAGGAGGGAAATATTCCACATACCACATAAATATTCTAAATATGATTGCCTTTAAACTTGAGAGATTGTTTTCTAGTGGCAATTAAGATGGCTCTAAACAGCCATTAGGCAGGGCACTGGGTTGGGCTAGTTTATCCTTAAGCCCCCATTTCCATGTGTAATCTTGTATCTATTGATCCTTTTAAGTATAGTATACATGCACAACTATATCCTAAGATTTACGCCAGAGATGCAGAACCAGTAACAATTTTTTTTCCAGACAGTTTCAGGAGCAGCATACCAGCAGTGGGCAGGGCTGGAGATAAAGTGGGCAAAACTCCAAGGACAAAAACACAGATACATGGACACTACTTGTCAACTGGCTTGATAACAAGAACCATGCCAAAAATATCAACAGACAAAGCGTGCTTTCAGACAGGGGTATCATTGCATTAACTATCAGAAGCTTCTTATCTAATGGATTTTTTGCAGTGAGAAAGAAATCAAACACTAGAGTGTTATGAATGGAAGATAGTGATGTTTTGGCCCCTTCAAACTTCCCTGTAAAATGAAGCAGCATAATGGGAAAATAAAGGGCTTGTCTGGAAGCACCCTAAAATTATTTTCTTGCCTACCTGTAAAAGATGCAATAGTTGCTCTCTAACTGTAAGATGTCAAGATGAATAAAGAAATAGTAGCAGTAAGCAGGCTTTCACATTAAAATGTATCTAGTCCTTCAGACCAAGATATCAACTAAGGCTTTTATCTTATGCACTTGGGAATAAACAATCCTACTGAACTCAGTGAGATTTACTTCTGATTTTAATGGAAGTTTAACAGAATGTGAAAATGTAGAGTTTTTTTTTAAATCCAGTCACTTTTAACTTAATGTCTTTCAACTTTGTAGCACAAGGGGAAGTATGCCCAGTATTTTCTTGAAACAACTTGACTGAAAGCAGCACTTCCCAAGCAGATGCAAAACATAAATAGCACAGATCTTAGGACAACTTACCAGCTGCTCATATCCACCAAAGATATACATGCTCTTTCCTAAGACACAAGCCGAATGTCCATCCCTTGCTCCTGGAACCATTCCAGAAACTTTCGGTGTGAACCATTTGTGTGTGCCTAATATAAAGACAAGATTTTACTAGTAGTCATAGAAAGAATGCTTAGGAATGAGACATAAAAGGGGAAAATCCTTGAGAAACTTAATTCCAAATATACAAGATGTATGGAAAGAGTGCCTTCTTCATGCTGTTCCACACAAAATAATAAATGGGGGGGGGGCATCTTGATTACAATTCCTGAAAAACTCTGCAAGCCACAAGTCACACACATCCTATGTGGTTTCTCTATCGACACAAACCTAAGTCATAATAAATGCTTGCAAACTTTTGAATAGTGATTAAATGTTTTAAGTCTATGAAAATTTCATACAGGATAATACAAATACCCAAAAATCAAAACCACTGCAGTGCTTAGGCAGACACCTGTCCTGGAAACCCAGGAGAATCCTTGAAGCAGTAGATTTCCTATCCTTTCCTATCCACAGTTGTCAGTCAGCTTCAGTGCTTATTCCAGGAAGCAGCAAGAGAGAGGTTTGTTCAAAATCCTCCCAGCACCAAGAACCTCTCACAACCTGGCTGTTATCCATAGCTGTTGACCCTGACTAACACAAGCTGTACTGTGGCCCAGTGAAAGGTCAACAAGAACTCTGGGGAGACGATTAGCACAAACGGAAAGTGAGCCTTGTTCCTAGTAGGATGCTTGCCATGCTTCAGTATCTAAATCCAGTCATCTGCTATCCCTAAAGACCTCAGCCAAGAGAAACACATGAAACTAGAGACTGAAGTGAGCTGTGTAATATCTAATCTAGATGGCATTCTCAAGCCAGTAAAGGACAATGCCCTGCAGAAGAGCCTCAGGGCTTTGTCTAGCCTGAAATGACTCATCCAGGGCTTCCACTTTTTCCCTTGAGATGGGGTGGATTAGTACACTTGCTTTCCAGGGATGACAGGAAATGGCACAAACAAACACATGCAAAGCTGCCTAGAACTCTGGACAGCAGCAGCTCTTGTGAAGCTTTTCAGCCATTCCTCATTTACCAGATGCAAAATCAGTTTGGCAGATATGCAGTGACAGAATATCCAATAGAATTCTAAGGATATCTGCTTTTTGCTCTGTACGATGAACCCCAAAATACTAAGAAAGTAAATGTGTTAAAAGAAATGAAACAGGCTTGGAAAGACAGCCAAGTCCAGAGGAACTTTTTCTATCTGTCCTCTGTGCTTGGCTATCTTTCCAAGTCTGTTTTGTTTCTTTAAACACATTTACCTTCTTAGTATTTTGGCATTCATTGTACAGAACATTCTTAGTACTGGCAGTTTTGTTTGAGATTAGTTTTTTTTCTTATTAAGATAAATTTATAGAAAATGTTCTCGCTCATCAGTCCTATATCTAAAACATTAACACAAGAATGATTTAATATATACTTATTACAATGACTCAAACATACCAAGCCACATTTTTTTCTTAGAAGCAGACATAATACAGTACAAGTCTATCCCATGTTATGACTTTAGTCATGTGATTCATTTCTTGGAGCAGCTCCATGATGCATTATGTGTAAACTAGTTTCAGCTCTAGGCAGATGAATCAAACACTGAAACTAAGCTCTCTGTCCTTTTTGCATTCTTTCGATAGCAATCTCATGAATTAACTCTTTCTAGCATATTGGTTTAGGCTTCCTTCTGAAATTATGTTTCAAGTGCATAAATTCAGGCCCTCAAAATTATGTAATTATATCTTGAAGATATCTACATTAATTCCCAGGAAAAACAATTATTTTGGGAACTGAGTTCTGAAGTATTGACAAACATATAGCTGCACTGGATAAACAGGTGTATTTATATTACACTGGTCCATATAGAAATCCATGTCTTCAAGAAGCAATGTCATTTTGTAATGCAAAAAGCTCATGGCCAAACAGAAAGCTGTTTTCCAGTTGACATCCTTTCCTGTCAGATGCTAGGAACAATGACAAATGTTGCCACAACCAATCAATATAAATAGATACAGATATTGCATGCATGTGCTTTGTACCTTCCTACTGAAGATTTGTCCTGCCACTTGGAGGTCAATAGTTTTGCTCCATTTCTATCCTTTTTACATGTATACATATACTACAGCAAAAAAAAATTATACAAGTTGATGCAATATTGAAAATCAAAATTAACATTGTAAAAAGTTGCCAAATGTATCAGCCTGACAGCCTTTCAAAGCCTCAGGCCCTATTCCAACCTGAAAAAGTCAATGAGAAGCCTTCCAAAAGCCAACTACAGGTTGGCTTTTCAATGCATGCTTTACCTTCTGGCTAAGTTTTCCTACCTAATCCTCTGCATCCTGACATTCCACTGGATGCCTGCTAAAATTAATCATGCCATGAGCATGGTCCATCCAAAGAATGGTCTGGCTGGAAATCAGCAGAGGGCTGATGTAATATAATACCAAACCCTGCAATTGATACATAGATGGAAAAACTCACAGGTTTAGTCTTCACACCAGATAGTACCTCTTAATCCTTTTAACATTCTTATTAAATATTCACTGAGGCATTTGGTTGTGGCAACACCATTATTGTTTATATGGTAAAAATTAGGCCCAGAAACAGGGATGTAAAGAGGACTATAAGGCAGTGTATGTTAGGAACCATTCCTCCCAAGAATTCTCACAGAAATGTTACAGGAAACTTCTTAAGATCTTCCCACTTTTCATTCTCCTTCCCTTCTTTACTGCTAATCTCTTTTGCCTAAAACATTTTGATCTCAACTGACACAGACTTAAGAACAGGCATATTATTTTACTAGCTCCTTGCTAACTTGAACTATGTTCCTTCTACCTTTCTGCTATTTCCCCCACAATCTTTTAACCAAGCTGCGTTAACTGAAAGCCCCTCACCAATGCCTAAGCACCCACTACAAACACTGTTTGACTCTGGATCTCTTACTGAACTACTAGTGGGCGGCTTCACATGGCACTTTAAGCCAGGGAGCCTTCTTGGTTGTTGCACCCCATCTTTGGAATAAACTCCTCAAAGAGGTTCGCCTGGCACCTACCCTTTTCCTTTAGACCCCAGGTGAACATCTTTTAATAAAGTTTTATTATTATTATTACTACTACTATTATTATTATTATTAGAACATTTCTATGCCGCCCCTTGCCGAAGCCTCGGGGCAGCTTACAACACAATACAATACAATACAAAAATAACAATATAAAATTAAAATTAATAATATTAAATTATATATATATATATATATATATAAAAAAACACGATATAAAAGAAGTTATAAAAGAAAAGTTGTAAAAGAAAAGAAAAGAAAAGAAAAGAAAAGAAAAGAAAAGAAAAGAAAAGAAGTCACCCTGGCCAGATAAATAAGTAAATATTGTTAACAATTAAAATGACGTTTAAATAAAAAGGTCTTCACCTGGCGCCGAAAAACAAATAACGACGGCGCCAGGCGGACCTCTCTGGGGAGCACATTCCATAGATTGGGCGCCACCGCAGAGAAAGCCCTCCTCCGAGTACCTACCCTCCTAATTTCTTTCACGTTTTATTAGATGCTGCTGCTGTACCTGTGTACCAGTTTGATTAGTTGCCTTGGATTTGTTTTTATTATTGTCTTGTTGTTATTGCTTTTATAGTGATATATATATTTTTTTTCTTATATGTTTTAACTCGGCAAACTGCCCAGAGAGACTTTTGGGTTAGGGGTGATATATAAATAAATTAGTTAGTTTGGGACTGACAAACGATTGGGCTCAGTGGGGTTCTTAAAGTACTTCCCCCTTTCTTTCTCCCTCATCCCTCTAGCTGGTATCCCAGAGACATTCTAAGAGCACTGAGGGGAGCAGAGCAAGGATGGTACAGCAGAACCTGCATTCTTTGCTCAATGCACTGGCTGGTGAGTCATTGAGACACCGAGCAAAAGCGGGGGGAAGGCACAGCACAAAGTGGGATGTCCCCCCATTACTTCTCATGGCTGCTGCTTAGTGGCCACTATGATGATGCTGGAGGAGACCCAGCAGAACATGGCTATTCTCTACTTCTTAATCCAATAACAAAGGGAAGGGGGCACATTGTCAAGATCTGCAGAACAATGCAGCTCTCTGGTGGCCAGAGAAGGCAGCCTGCTTTATCTTGCAATTACAGTGGTACCTTGGCTCACTAACTTAATCCGTTCCAGGACTCTGGTCATGACCCAAATTGGTCATGAGCCAAGTTAAATTTTCCCGTAAGGTTCAATGTAAATAAGGTTAATCCGTTCTGTAACCGTTTTTTAAATCAGAAAAATGTGAAGCAAAGTGACAACAAAGATCGCGGTCATCTCCCCCCCGACCCCAAGCACAAGCATGGCCATCTCCCTGCCACCCCCAACACGACCGAGATCGCACCTGTCATCCTTTGCATGCGCCTATCATCCCAGCGCGCTGGGGGGTGGGGGGGAAGAGACAGGCGTGATCTCGGCTAGTTGGGGGTGGGGTAGGGAGATGGCCACGATCGTGCTGGTTGGGGGGGGAATGGCAATGACTGGGTGGGGAGAGATGGCCACGATTGCAGTTGCTTTCGTGAAGGGAAGGCATGCGTGATCAGAGGCGCGCTGCTGCAGGAAAGACGGGCACAGCACAGCTGCAGGAGAGATGGCTGAGATTGCGCCTGTCTTTCCTGTGGGAGCATGCCTGTGATCACCCACGCCTTCCCTGCATGAAAGCAACTGTGATCGTGGCCATCTCTCCACTCGGGGTGGGGGGGATGGCTACAATCTTGGTCGTCACCCAATGCGGAGCTTGTGATCCACGTCAAAATTTTAATGAAATTTTTGTTCGTGACCTGATTTGTTTGTGAACCAAGGCGTTCAGGAGCTGAAGTACCACTGTACTTAGAAACATAGAGGGAAAGGGGAGTCAGAAGGGTCCCCCAGGCCATCTAGCCTGACCCCTGGCTCAAGCCATCTCTGCTGATATAATCCCCAACATGTGATTGTCCATTCTTTCCTTGAACACTCTCACTGATGGGGCCTCAACCACCTCCCTTGGAAGCCTATTCCATATCCTAGGGATCTTAACCATCAGAAGTACTTCCTGACTTCCAACCTGGAGTCTGGTTCCTCCACTGGAATGCATCCTGCCCTACACTGCAGGAAAGAACAGGTCACAGTTCCCTCAATCTCTCCTCATATGTCATCCCTCCCAACCTGGTTACCATTCTTGTGACCCTGCGCTGAGCTGATTCTAACCTAGCTATGTCTCTCCTATGATGTGGAGCCCAGAACTGGATGCAGTACGCCAGTTGTGGGCACACCTTAGTCATGCAGAACAGTAACAAAACCTCCCTTGATCTGGAAGCCACACTTCTGGCTATACATCCAAGGGTGGCATTTGCCTTCTTAACTGCCGCATCACACTGCTGGCTCTTGTTCATCCTGCTGTCAACAAGTACCCCAAGTTTCCTTTCACAAGTGCTGCTCTCCAGCCACTTGTTCCCCGTCCCATACCTGTGACACCTATTCCATTGAATGCCATCCTGTTGTCTCCTGTCCACTTCCACAGCCTGTCCTGATCCTTCTGGATCTGGATCACCTGCTCCTCAATTGTGGCCACCACCCCCACTTGGGTATCCTCTGTGAATTTAGTCAGCAAAGTGGTTATCTCCTCCTCCATCTCATTGATAAAATGACAGGATTAGTATTGGGCCTGTAGGTGCTTGCAAGATTAGGGCCAGTCCAATCAGGTAAAACAGCTGGAAACCACAGGAGGCTCTATAAAATGCTTTCCAGTGCCTCTTTGCTTTGTCACAACATGAGTCTTGACTTGGTTTCTGCCCCCAGTCCTACAACATCTTCAGTTGTGCCTTAACTTTTGTTTGTCTCTGGCCCTGCCATGCTTTGCCAGTACACTGATCCTCACTTTGCCTCCGCTTCTACCATGTCTTTGCTGATACTGCCAGAAGTTGCCTCTGCTTTCACCTCTGGCCCTCATCAATCTTGTTAAGTGTCCAACCCTTGCTTGAGTAAGCCATGGTTCTCCTTCCACTTTCATCACTTTGCCCTGCTGTCCACTCAGGGACATCTACTATTTATGTCCTGGAGTTGTCCAAGGGAAACCCAGCGGAACAAAGCTCTTCGCCTGGCAATCTCAAGGAAAGCTGATGACAGTTGCCCAAAGTGTTGCTTGTGCACTTTAGGTGACTGTCATTGCAGCTGACTGGGCAGAGCAGTGAGACTTTCTGCCACTTCTGCCAAGTGGCTCTGTAGGATCTGGAGATTCACCTGGGTTTGCTATGTTGTCCAGAGGTAGCTATGAAACCTCAAGCAATATTCTCTTGGTTTCCTAGACATAAAGAAAGCACCCTATGGAAGAGGGCGGGTGGCTTTCAAAGCCACTGTGCAAACCCAGTCAGTGTGTCTTTGACACTGCTGCTGCACTAATTTTGTCACTGTGAGACTACCTCCCATAGCCCTGAATACTTAATCTTCAACTCTCCAATATTGTAGCAATATTCAATCTATTTGCATCCCAAACCCTGACCCTACTTTACTGCTTACCCCAGGAATCCACTCATTTAATAAAACTGGCACTATGAAATGTTCTTACTGCATTCCACTCATGCCCCATCTCCCCTGGACTTTCCTCTCTTTCATATTAAGCTGCATACACAATCACCAGGAAAACTGTACAGCACATATTTGCTTTTCTATTTTTTTCTAAGTCACCTTTACACACTTATTAGCACAATTACTATTTATTATATTTTAAAGGTGTAAATTCTAGGTTTCATTTAAATGTTTTAAATAAACTGTTAAATCCTTATCTGTTTTAATCCTAATCAATTTTCTTTGGAAAATCCTTGTCCTTCATGGCTTTATTCTTCTAATAAGGTGGCCATTCATAAAACATTCAGGTCAAGCATGTGATTGTGAACATGCATATCAGCCAGCAAATAGCTATCAATTCATTTTTCACTTGTAAAAATATTTTATTAAACTTAATTTCTGAAATCTCCTGCTAGCATACCTGTATTTCAGCAATATCAGGTATTCTCAGAACTTTCAGTAGACCCACGGTTTCCTATTTTAACCTATATTTCCTATAAGACCCCTGTCGTCTTGTAAACACTGTGTACACTTCTCCTTGTGTGGCTGGTTTTATTTTTGCACTTCCCCCCTTTATTTCACTTAATGCTTTGTATCTTCTTTCTGCTACTGAGTGCAGTCTTTGCCATGTGTGCTGTCCACAGTACAACACACATAATTTCATTGAAGCACTAGCATGGAAGATTGTGCAAGGAATTCTGATGTGTGCTTAAAACAGTATTAGTAAGAAACTAAGTATTTTCATACACATGAGAATCCACTGGCATAAATCGCTTCATAGCTGTTATTCTTAGCTTAAAGAGAGATGCAGGCAGCAATGTTTTAGTACAATACACATTCAGAAGTGTCCTAAGAAAACAGAGGAAGGACAACACTTACTGACATCAAAGGCATATAGTACATTGCAGGCTCCCTCAGTGTCATTGCGACCTCCCCAGATATAGATGGTATCATCAATGAGCACTGCAGAGTGTCCATATCTCATGTAGGGAACTTCCCTCACGTGGTCCCTACTGTTCGTCCACACTGGTGGAAGCTTGGTCCAGCGCAGAGAGACTAAAAGAAAAGGCCCAGAATATTACTTGACTGCCTTGCCATTGTTTGTCAGGCTGCTATGGTTATACATCACAGCAAAAGTAATTGACATAAACACTTTAATTGCCTGGCAGATTATCAAGCCAGAAAATGAGACTATCTGATGAGAATCACATTCCCAAGTGTTGCTCCAAATCAGGAAGGTATATTCCAAGGTTTTGAAGGGATTAACAAAAACAAGCACAATTCAGAAAAAAATAGGTGTTCTGAAGTCCCATTTGGTCTACCAGGTTAAGCAGCATTAGGTACGCAGTAAGAGGAATGGGTGGCTAAACAATAGGTTACAATTTAACTATTAATAATTTCAAAAGGCATTTTCAAATGATTTACAATTTTATTGCTTATTTTCACAATGTTTGGAGGTACATTAGACTAAGAAGATTGCTAGTAAACATTAAACTAAGACAGCTGCTAGTGCTAAGTAAGCATCTGAGCCCAAGTGTCTCATATCTGAATAAACCCACTTTATTCCTAATAACCTTGTAGATTCTACCAGTTTATTTCCTGTCTCCTGACTCTCAGCTGCAACCTGCATATTATATCATATTTCTGACCGTTTGCTTTAGTTATGCAAAACCACTGGATTTATATGATATTATACGAGGTGCACCTTGCACAGTCATTGTTCTCTTTTAGGCATCAGGTAAAGATCTTTTTATTCAACAGTTATTTTAATAGATAGATGGACTTCAATATTTCAATGCTGTTTTTATGCATACTGTTTTTATGCCTTGTCTTAATTTTAAATCTCCAGAGTAGTCAATTGCTGTGTGTTTGGGTTTAAAAATTTTATATAATGTTCTATTATTTTTATACATTTTATTATGTATAAGTGGTCAGACCACCTCCTCATGAGGTTTGAGTTCGATGGCGGCCTTTCCCTCTGTAAGGGTGCAGACCCTATTGTGTGGGTCTGCCCTCGAGGCCAGATGGATCCGGATGGATTCCTGAAAGCTCTGGGGGTTTCCAGTTGATAAAGCTGGAGCTCCTGTTGATGCTCTGGTCGAACTGTGGAATGGGGAAATGACCAGAGCTATTGACACGGTCGCTCCTAAGTGTCCTCTCCCACCGGGCAGAGCCCGTTCATCCCCTTGGTACACACCTGAATTACGGGCGATGAAGTGGGTTGGGAGACGACTAGAGCGTAGGTGGAGAAAATCTTGGGATGAATCTGACCGAATTCACTTAAGAGCCCATTATCGGGCCTATACAAGAAAGAGCTTAACATTCCTGATAACCACGATGGGGTGGTCACTGACCTTGAGCCAGACATCCTGGAATGTGAAGTCAAATGGGCCTTAGGAAGTCTGAGCAACAACAAAGCTAGTGGAGACAACAGTATTCCAGCTGAGCTATTCAAAATCCTAAAAGACGATGCAGTAAAAGTGCTACACTCAATATGCCAGCAAATTTGGAAAACTCAACAGCGGCCACAGGACTGGAAAAGGTCAGTTTACATTCCAATCCCAAAGAAGGGCAATGCCAAAGAATGTTCAAACAACCGCACCATTGCACTCATTTCCCATGCTAGCAAAGTTATGCTCAAAATCCTACAAGCTAGGCTCCAGCAGTATGTGGACCGAGAACTACAAGAAGTACAGGCAGGTTTTTGAAGAGGGAGAGGAACTAGAGATCGAATTGCCAACATACGCTGGATCATGGAGAAAGCTAGGGAGTTCCAGAAAAACATCTACTTCTGCTTCATTGACTATGCTAAAGCCTTGATCGTGTGGACCACAACAAATTGTGGCAAGTTCTTAAAGAGATGGGAGTACCAGACCATCTTATTTGTCTCTTGAGAAACCTATATGTGGGTCAAGAAGCAACAGTGAGAACTGGACACAGAACCACTGATTGGTTCAAAATTGAGAAAGGAGTTCGGCAAGGCTGTATACTGTTGCCCTGCCTATTTAACTTATATGCAGAGCACATCATGAGAAAGGTGGGGCTAGATGAATCACCAGTTGGAATTAAGACTGCTGGGAAAAATATCAACAATCTCAGATATGCAGATGATACCACTCTTATGGCAGAAAGTGAAGAGGAACTAAAGAGCTTCTTGATGTGGGTGAAGGAGGAGAGCGCAAAAGTTGGCTTGAAACTCAACATTAAGAAAACTAAGATCATGGCATCTGGTCCTCTCACTTCCTGGCAAATAGATAGGGAAGAAATGGAGGTAGTGACAGATTTTATTTTCCTGGGCAACAAGATCACCGCAGATGGGGACTGCAGCCAAGAAATTAAAAGACGCTTGCTCCTGGGGAGGTAAGCTATGGCAAATCTAGACAGCATACTAAAAAGCAGAGACATCACCCTGCCAACAAAAGTGCGTATAGTCAAGGCTATGGTTTTCCCAGTTGCAATGTATGGCTGTGAAAGCTGGACCATAAGGAAGGCTGAGCGCAAAAGGATTGAGGCCTCTGAATTGTGGTGCTGGCGGAGACTCCTGGGAGTCCCTTGGACCGCAAGGCGATCAAACCAGTCAGTCCTAGAGGAGATCAACCCTGACTGCTCTTTAGAAGGCCAGATACTGAAGATGAAACTCAAATACTTTGGCCACCTAATGAGAAGGAAGGAGTCCCTGAAGAAGAGTCTAATGCTGGGAACAATAGATGGCAAAAGAAGAAGGGGATGGCAGAGGATGAGGTGGCTAGATGGAGTCACTGAAGCAGTTGGTGTGAGCTTAAGTGGACTCTGGGAGATGGTGGAGGACAGGAAGGCCTGGAGGAATGTTGTCCATGGGGTCGCGATGGGTCAGGCACGACTTTGCGACTAACAACAACATCGGGCCTATGCTGTGGCAGTGAGGGCAGCGAAGATGAAATTCTTCTCCACTTCCATTGCCTCCTCACAGTGCTGTCCAGCGGAACTTTTTCGGGTGGTACAGGGGCTGGTACAGCCAGGCCCCAAGAAAGATCCTGTACCACACTCGATAATCCGCTGTGACGACTTTGCCCAGCACTTCAAGGAGAAAGTTGCTCAGATTAGTCACGAGCTGGACTCCACTAGTGACTCAAATTCCTTAGGGGAGGTGCCAATGTTACTGTCTGGTCACACATTGTTGGATGAGTTTCAGTTATTGCAGCCTGATGACGTGGACAAGATGCTTGGACAAGTACATACCACCACCTGTGTACTGGACCCCTGCCCATCGTGGCTACTCTCCAAAGCCAAACACGGGATTGGTTCCTGGATCCGGGAGGTCATCAACACCTCTTTGAAGGACGGCTGGGTGCCTGCCCCTCTAAAGGAGGTGGTGCTCAGGCCGGTCCTAAAGAAGGCACCCCTGGATCCAGAGATGGCTGCCAATTATAGACCGGTGGCCAACATCCTGTTTTTGGGCAAGGTGCTGGAGCAGGTGGTGGCGGGACAACTCCAAGCTCTCTTGGATGAGACTGATTATCTGGACCCATTTCAGTCCGGCTTCAGACCCAGGTATGGTACTGAATCTGCCTTGGTCGCCCTGTATGATGACCTGTGCAGGGAGAGAGACAGGGGGAGTGCGTCCCTGTTGTTTCTCCTGGACCTCTCAGCAGCTTTCAATACCATCGACCATGGTATCCTTCTGGATAGGCTAAGGGAGCTGGGAGTAGGAGGCACTGCTTGGCAGTGGTTCCGCTCCTACCTCGACGACCGATTCCAGAAGGTGGTGCTGGGGGACTTTACCTCTGCGCAATGGCAGTTATGCCATGGAGTTCCACAGGGGTCTATTCTGTCCCCCTTGCTTTTCAACATCTACATGAAACCGCTGGGAGAGGTCATCCGGAGGTATGGGCTGCGGAATCATCAGTACGCTGATGATACCCAGCTCTACCTCTCTTTTTCAACCAATCCAGGTGAGGCAGTGGCTGTACTGAACCGGTGCCTGGCCGAGGTAATGGCCTGGATGAGGGCCAATAAACTGAAGCTCAATCCAGACAAGACGGAGGTCCTGCTGGTAGGTGGTTCAAACTCCTGGGTAGGTGACTTGGATCTTGTCCTGAATGGGGTTGCACTGAAAGGCGGGGAGGGGGACCAAGAGAAAGAATGTTAGCCTAAATGAGCATGCTGTTGTGCGTTAATTCTGGCATAATTCTGATTTACATTCCATTCTGTTTCCTCAAATAACTTGTTACAATGTTTAGAATTAACTGATACAACTTTGTTTCGAACTGATCAAGTTGGATTTATTAAACCTAGATCAGAGACTGAAAATTTTAGACTAATCATAATCTGAGTGTTTCAAACAATGACAGAACTATGTCGCCACTGTCTCTTCTGATGCTGAAAAAGCCTTTGACAAAACGAATTGGCAAATCAATTTTTTGCTACTTTAACTAACTTGGCTTTCCTTTAGAATTTATGGATTTGTGTATGATTGTTTGGAATTTAAAATTATTTACTATGATCATTTATTATTTCTAAAGTATAGTTATCCGTGCCAGTGTTGATGCCATTAATTAATATGTCTGGTCATTTGTCTGGTTATTCAATTAACTGGGCAAAATCTGAACTAATGCCAATTGCAGAATCTGTATCTCACAGTGTATTAGCAGACTAGCAATTTTGACAGTGCCTAGATGTTATCTTGGAATACTTACTTTTGGAGATAAATTTCAAATGATTAATAAATTTGATTAAGTTAATTAATGAAATTTCTCATGATTTAGATAGGTGAGTAAATTTAAAACTGAATTTCTGGGATGAGGTAAATATAATTAAGATTAACACTGTACCTCTGGTTGTTTCTGTTGTAAAAAGGGATGGTAAGTAGATCACACACCCTCACAGCAAGATCCTTTAAGTTGTAAGTGTGGATCTGACAATTTGTAGTGACCTCCACCCATTTCAGCCTTTCCCAAGCCTATAATTGTTAGCAGAAGTGGAAAAGTGCAGTCCATTTATAGGCATAGTTACTTCTGACAGCTGTCAAAAGAGTTGTTTTTAAAACAGTGTTTCTGACAGGACTATACAAGGTTTTTTGACGACACATGCAGCTATGACTTTTATGTGGCTTTGTTTTTAGTTTGCAGCTTGTGGGGAAAATGGGGGAAAGACACAGCAAATCACAAAAGCAGTCATGAATGGCATGGGAAGAGCAAGATAAGATATGCCTCAAGATTGAGATCCCTTGGGTAACTGCAGAAAGACCAAGGGGAAAGAGTCAGGGACAATCTACAATCAGCCTGATCAACTGACAAGCTCAAAGTAGGGTGTTCTAGAGCAACCTACATTACACAGTTTATTCACAGGATGGGTTGCCATGTTGTGCAAACTCACACAAATATTAAATATTTAGTTGTAAATATCTGTCACAAAGTCAAACTTTTGCTAATCAACAGACAAAGAAACAAACTAAAAAAGCAACTTCCACATTTGTGGTTGCAAATGTGTGAAATGGTTTTGTTAGTTCCTACAGTTGACTTTTTATGTTAAATGTTCGTTTTTCCCTTTGGTTTTAGTATAAATTTATTGAATGTTTACTCCATTATAACATACAACTTAAACAAATTAATAAATCATATTCCTATTCTTTCCATAGTAATTATTTATTTCTTAACTAATGTCTTATCTGATGGACTATATTATTTCCTAAGACAATCTAAACATTATCAAAATATTCTGGAAACAGAGAATGTTAATCACAAAGTTTCCTCTCCTTAAACACTTCCTACTTATTCCTTAAACACTTTATTTATTTATTTACTTACTTACTTACTTACTTACTTATTTATTTATTTATAACATTTCTATGCTCTGTTAATATATTAAAGACCACTTCCCAAACACTTTTCCTAGATTCCCAAACAGGTACAATTTCAATCAAGAGGAATAAATGCACGATTTTCATATGTTTTATGTGAAATGGCCAATTCCTTTGCCCCTGAAAGACAATTCCAGTTTTAGGTAACACTATTTTGGCATGTTTATACTTATTACAATTCAATCAATACAAACAAATAGATAAACTAGACAACACTTTTATTGCAACAGCATAAGCACCTTCTATTTAAATACCTTAAATCTGGAAAATATTCTTCAAAACTATTTTAAAATCATAAGCTAAGGATCATATGAGAACACCAGATCCTCAGAAACTATTTAAACACTCATTTTACCTGCATTAAATACATGAACATCAATCTGTCGCAAAGTCTCATAGTCTTCACCAGAACAGTAGCCTCCAAAAGAGTAGACTTTGTGTCCAACTGCCACAGCGGCGTGGTTTACTCTCCGGGGACCACCTTCTAAATGCACTGTCCACCGTAACATTCCCTTTTGTAAGTGCTCAGTCCCTCCAAGCTGGGGGTGGGAGTGTTAGAGTTTCATGCCCACAGGGCTACCAGCCATTTTGGTTTGTAGCCACAGAACTCTGCAACAGAAAAGGAATATCAAGATTCAAAACACACTGTATTAGACCCATTGTAAAATGAATCTGAATCTTCCTCTGTGCAAAAGCTTTTTTCAATGGATAAATTTTAAATATCCTCTTTGAACATATTACTTGTTCCTTTCTTTTCAACACTCTTGCTGAAGGCAATACTGGTGGAGGATCTCACATACAATGACAGTAACACTCAAAATAACTTTGGTTAGTACTGTGCAGAAGAAGGCAATTGTAAACCACTTTTCTTACCTTGAAAGCCCCATGATAAAATCAAAATGAAAGAAGTGATAATGCCAGAAGATGAGACCCCAGGTTGGGAAAGCACTCAATGAAGAGTACTGGGGAAGAGCACAGGACAAGTACAAATAGTGCTGCCACTAATGACACAACTAGAGCAGAGCCAAAAGTTGCTTTGGCCATTGAGCAGTACAGAAATAAAATAAATGAATAACTAATATGTACAGAGGTGAAAGGAAAGTCTGATGTTGTACAACATACAATTGGGACATGAAATTTGAGAATTATTAACCGAGACAAACTGGAAAACGTAACGCAGAAAATGGAATGGTTAAACATCACAGTACTCGCTGCTAGCAAACTAAAGTGGACTAGAATGGAACATTTTCAGTCAGATAAACACAAAGTATTTTACTCTGAAAATGACAAACTCAGAAGAAATAATGCTCTAATACTGAGACAAGACATAACACAGGCAGTAAGGGGCTATAATGCAAAATGTGACCAAATCATATCCATGTGAATCAACATAACCATCATCCAAGTCTATGCTCAAACAACAGATACTAAAGGAAAAACTGAAATCTTTTACACAGGTGGTGTTCAAGAGAAAGGCATGTGAAGGCATATGAGGCTGAGTACTTACATTAGTGTATCTTTTGGCCCCACCTACTGCTTGCATGCTAAGTAAGCTGCCTATGGAGGACAACTTCACTTTCTGCTTCCATAGCCACCCTTCGTAAGATGAGCAATCATTGTGAAGATACCTGGTCAACTCTGAAGGAATGCAATTCTTTGGCTAAAAAATATTTCTTACTTTTAGACTTGATAAGCATGGCCATGGCCTGGACCCAGAGGCCAAATTCAAGTTCTGAGTGGGTTCATATGAATGAAGATTGCTCCATCAGATAACCTAAGCCTAAACTGTTTAGGGCATTAGTCAATACTAGCAGTTTAAACTGGGGCCCAAAATGTACTGGCAACCACTGTAACTGATACAATATTAATTTCATATGTTCACCTGGGGTTGCTTCATTCTGCTACATTTGAAATTTCTTAACCATCCTTAAATGCAGCTTCATATAGAAGGCAGTACCATGGTCTAGTCTGGATGTCACTATTGCATGAATAACTGAGGCAAGGTGCAACCTGCTTCTCCCTCCTGCTATGACCCTAAGTTGGTAATGTCTTGAGAGCAATGTGCTGAGGGGGACTGTATATAATTTTTTAGAATAAATAATGTTCACTTCTAATTCCTGATACTAACTGTACTTCCACAGATGGCACTAAGTCTCAGAAAATATCATACTGAAAATGCATGTCCTGGAAAAATGTATGTGGTCTTAGAGACTTAAAAGGTATACTAATGTGCAAATATTCCCTTGTATTCTTTCATCCAGAGCCGAGTGTCATACTTTTCCTCAAGTACCAATATAAGTTTATTTATTTATATTTTATGTATTTATTATTGTGTTTATAACCCACCCAGGGAGCCTTGTGGCTAATGGGGTGGGATAATAATCTAATAAAATATATAAAATACCAAGAAGAGAAAAGCAGGTAGGCTGCTGAAAAAGTATTATCTCTTGCTTAACGGTTCAGCTGATGCCTGTGGTAACAAACTCTGTACCAGTCCATTTATTTGGTAATATCCTTAGGAAATATGTGCCGTATTTCTAAAGAAAAAAAACAAAATATTTATAAAGCATATGGCCTCTGTCAAAGGCCAATAAGAAGAGAGAGAGAGAGAGAGAATGCTCCAGCATATGCCAGAGTGGTGTAGTGGTTAAGAGTGGAACAAACTGGGTTCTAGTTCCTGCTCAACCATGGAGTAACTGGGTGACTTTGGTTCAGGTAGAGACTCTCAGCCCAACCTACCTCCCAGGGTTGTTTTTGTGGGGATAAGATTGAAAGCAAGAGGAAAATGATTTAAGTCACACCGAGTTCATTGTAAGAAACATGGCAGAATATAAATCTAATAGATTAATATACTGATACCAGATTTCTTTTTCCACACAGCATCAACTAAAGACAGTTTACATTAGTTTAGTGTATGTAACATTTGAGCATGAAAGGATGACATAACCTTTCACGTTTTTTATTCCCCTCCAAGACTTTCATGGAGCACATAAATCAGATGTTAAAATTTGAGTACTTTTCCTTTGGCTGACAACTAATACACAGAACTCTAAAAACCTTAACAAATGAGAGAATTCAAAGAAATCCATGTTAGAAAAAAGATAGGCTAGAGTGCCAAGAAATTAAATACACCATTAAAAATACACTGTTAAAAAGAAACAGAAATAAATAAATAAATAAATAAATATAAAAAAGAGAGATGAAAACATATATTATGCATTGATTTTTTTGAGAGAACAAGAAATACTTGGTCTGTATGTAGTCATTAGCAATGTAGCAATGACTATGTAATATCAGATCCCCAGGAGGAAAAACTAGTTTGTTTCAGAGATCTACATAAACAAGCAATTTCTCAATAATTATAAAATTCATTTTCTATAAGTTTTGCAATATAGGAATTAATGAGGAAGTCTTCAGTTTCCTAAGTTTCTTACATACAACCAGCGGTTGAACAAGCTTGGCATGAAAGCTAATTGAAGGGAAACTCAAGGAAAAACAGAATAAAGCCATCAATAATGGCTTTATTTCAAGCAAGGTGCATACCACAGTTTTTATAATTTATGCAATTATAAAACACTATTTGGGATTTTTTAAAAGTGTACTAAAATCATCTCCAATCAGTTTACGTCAAAGTGAAAATAATGTATGAATATTACTCTGGACTATAACCAGAGCTTTTCAGTTTTTGTTCATGATTGTACTCAATATTATATTATGCATAAATATAAACACTGTTTGCTGTTGATCACCAGTGATGGTGTAATATACAATCAGAGTTATCTGTGTGGTTAGTCGTGAAGTCATGTCCGACCCATCGCGACCCAATGGACAACATTCCTCCAGGCCCTCCTGTCCTCCACCATCTCCCGGAGTCGACCCAAGCTCACACCAACTGCTTCAGTGACCCCATCTAGCCACCTCATTCTCTGCCATCCCCGTCTTCTTTTGCCATCTATTGTTCCCAGCATTAGACTCTTCTCCAGGGACTCCTTCCTTCTTATTAGGTGGCCAAAGTATTTGAGTTTCATCTTCAAGATCTGGCCTTCTAAAGAACAGTCAGGGTTGATCTCCTCTAGGACTTTTGCAACCAGAAGCTCATGATCTGAGCCACAGTCAGCTCCTGGTCTAGTTTTTACTGACTGTATAGAGATTCTCCATCTCTGGCTGCAGAACACAAAGTCAATCTGATTCTGTGTTGACCGTCTGGTGATATCCATGTGTAGAGTCATCTCTTGGGTTGTTGGAAAAGAGCGTTTGCTATGACCATCATATTCTCTGAGCTTGTGCCCTGCTTCATTTTGTACTCCAAGGCCAAACTTGCCTGTTATTCTGGTTATCTTTTGGCTTCCTACTTTAGCATTCCAATCCCCCATGATGCTAAGGACATCATTTTTTGGAGTTAATTCTAGAAGGTGCTGTAGGCCTTCACAGAACTGGTCAACTTCAGCCTCTTCAGCACCAGTGGTTGGGGCATAAACTTGGACTACTATGATGTTGAATGGTTTGCCTTGGATTCGAACTAAGATCATTCTGTCATTTTGGAGATTGTATCCCAGTACTACTTTTCCTACTCTTTTATTGACTATGAAGGCTGCTCCATTTCTTCTGAGGGATTCTTGCCCACAGTAGTATACCTGATGGTCATCTGCATTAAATTCACCCATTCCTGTCCATTTTAGTTCACTGATTTCTAAGATATCGATGTTCAGTCTTGTCATCTCTTGTTTGACCACATCCAGAGTTATCTGTAGTATCTTCCCATTTGATAGCGAGAATTTTCGCAAATCTAAGGAATGGTAAAATTATCCTTATCTCATGTGTGAATGTCACTGGTGACCACTTCCCCATGTGGCTATGTTACTATGTTCAAATTTATTTGAATTTCTCCACATCCAGTCTTTTTGAAAAAGGGCTTTATGCTGAGCAGCTTGCCAGTGATAGATGCAATATGGAACTTTATGGACATTTTGCACTACTGCAATGCACTGTATTTGGAATTGCCCCTGAAGAGCTTCCAGGAGCTACAGTTGCTGCAAAATACAGCAGCACAATAATGGAATCATATTACACCTGTCTTGAAAGACCTGTTACAGTTCAAGGTACTGGATTTTACCTTTAGTTCATGGTACTGGATGTAACCTTTAAACCTCTGAATGTCTTGAAATCCAACTATTTAAGCTATGAACCTGCCCAGATATTCTTGTCTACTCTTTTGATGACACCATTACCTACAGAGGCCCATTTGTTAGGCACACAGGAAAGGCTTTCTCCTGTGTTGCTCCCAAACTGTGGTATGTGCTTCCTGAAGAACTATGAGTGCTCTATCAGAAAGGATTTGAATTTAGTATTTTAAATTATGTGGTTTTAATATTCCAAAGTCTTGCTATTTTAATGCTTGCTTTTATTCTTTTAAGAGGGTTTTTTTAGTTGCTACATAAGAATGTAAGAAAGGTCATACTCAATCAGACTAAGGACCATCTAGTCCATCACTCTATACACCAGCTACTCACAGGATCCCTAAAGCAGGATGGGTGCAAGACCTCTACCAGCCCAAGCTTCTCAGCAACTGGTATATGCAGGCATGCCACCTCTGGGAAAGAGGGTAGCAC